TTCATAAGACTTGTACTCCATCATCAGGCTTTTTTTTTGGAGCGGGGTGAGTCTTAGTAAATCTTAAAATGCTATATGGATGTTATTATGCTGATTATGAGTTAAGGCTCTAGGCAAGTCACCTAGGTTCTCAGTGCCCTCAGGCAACTCTGTAAGACTAAATTTTAGGGAAAGTGAAGATCTGCATTGGTGGAGGCAGTCCTCAGGGGAGATTCCCTACACTGATGAAAACACAGATCTGTTAAAATACATAAATATACATACATATATGTATATCTACATATATATGTATATATGTATGTGTATATATATATATACACGTGTGTGTGTGTGTGTGTGTATGTATGTGTATAAAATCAAGTCAACGGGCATCAGCCAATAGTACGAAGCAATGCCCCGGTTGTTACTAAGTTATCTATTTTGGGAGGGGGAAAAGTGAGAGAGGAAAAAAGAGAGGAAGAGAGAAAAGGAGGGACATTGAGGGAGGGAGGAAGGACAGAATAGGTTAGAGGAAGAGGGAGCAAAGAGAAAGCCACAAACTGCCTATTCTTCCTGGCCTGCTTACATTTCCTGCTGGAAATGGCCCCAACTATTTCCTGTAATATTCTGGAAGAATTCAGTAAATTGTACTATGCGACTGGCCGTACTGGCAAAGTCCCCTCTGTGTCTTATTTCTAATAAGCTGCCCAGAGGTGGCGCCTGCCCCCTTCCTCCTGGGGAGGCTATTACAAGCCTGTTCCTATTGTTCTTCTTGGTTTTTTGGGTTTTATTTCCCCAACTGAAGCTTTCTACCTATGGCTCTCCTTCCTTTTTAGGCCTGGGAACATGTACATGTTCTTTGTCACAGTGTTACGAGGATAAAATGAGATCATCCATGTGAAGGCACTTTGAAAAGTTATATACTACATAAATATAACTTGTCATCTTCAGCCTAGCCCAGCTCAACATTTTTTATCAATGACTTGGATGAAAACACAAAGGGCTCCTTGCCAAATCTGTGGATGACACAAAGCTGGGAGGGAAAGCTACTATGTCGGATATAATTGGGATTCAGAAAAACATTTAGACTGGCTAAAGCAATGGGCAAAGACTAATAAGCTCCAGACCTGTGATTTCATTGGCACAGGGAACCTGGGTGACAAAATTTCCTCTGCCAATGCCAACTGGCATCTTCTCCTTATAGCCCGAAAGAACTGCTATTGAACTGAAAGGTCAAGTCCAGGGTCATACAGTCACTTGAACCAAGGTCTTCATGGTTTTGAGGGCAGCACTCTAGCCATTAGACCATGATGCCTCCCTAATAAAACCTATTAAGATGCAATTGAACAGGGATAAATGTTGGGTCTACACCTAAGGGTCAAAACATCAACTGTATAAAAACACTGGTGATGGATGTTGCATATGAAAAACTTTTTTTTAGTAGATTAGAAACAACAATAGTCTGACACATCAGCTCAAAAAAAAAAAAAGACAAAACACAAAAAAACCCTGCAAACCAATTAAACCAAACCAAACCACCTAATGTGCTCTTAGATGCCATTATTGTGAACAGTGTCCAGAATGATATAGGTGATAGTTCCCCCGTACTCTGCCCTGATCAGACCATTCTGGAGTATTATACTCAGTTCTGAGGCTTTATTTTAGGAAAGGCATTAACAACCTCGGTTAGATGGATAGAAGACTTGTTATTTGAGACTTGATGGAAGGGGCAAGGAATGCTTAGCCAGGGGAAGAGAGGGCTCAAAGGGATGGTTGTTTTCTTTAAATAACTGAAGGAGCAAACTTTCTGCTTATCAAAGGAAGAAATTAGTACCAAAGGTTGGCAATTATAGGGAGGCAATATAAAAGGATAGGTTTTCTAATGATTAAAGCTATTGGAAAATGGAACGGCAGTTCTGGAGGAAACAAGACCTTGGTCACTGGCAACACTCACAGATTGAAGATCACTTGATGTTCAAGAGACTGATGCTTCGTGTAGAATTGGACTACAAGACCCCTAAGGTCCTTTCCAACTTTAAGATTCTAAAATCAAAACCTGGTGAGCTTACAAACTACAGTCAAGATGACATAAGTACCTGCACCCACATATAACTTGACTTTGCTTTATAGATTTGCTCATCCCAACTCTTCCATCTACTTCAAAACCTAGACCAGTCTCCTCTACATTTGGAATTATTGCCTTTGCTTTCATTCCTTCAGGTCAGATTAATTTAATCGTTAAGAAAACCCACCAGTTTTCCATGAAGAGCTGAGCCACAGGACCTGACCAGTGTTTGGCCGTTAGAGAATTATCAGGGAGATCCTTTTCAACCTAGTGTGTTCTATTCAATGGCACATCATCATTCCCATTCAAATCTATCCTCCCTCTAGTTTTTCCACTCTATTACTCCTAGGAAGTGACCTCAGATGAACTCAATACCATTTATGGAAGTATAGCAAAGGTCAGAAGTCAAGAAACTAAATTTAGCTTTATTTAGCCAATATAAATGCCTAGAGGAGTAACTGTTCCCCTGCCCCTTTTTTACTTCACTATCAGTATTTCTTAAAATGGGCTAATACGGTTTTCACTAAGTTATACATCCCTGAGAAACCTCTGATCCCAGTCACTGCTAAAGCACTTAAATGTTATGTCTTATGAAATACAGTCCTGGTCTTAAATTCACATTGGTTTGGGATTTTGTGAAAATGGGTTCATGTCTATTAAAACTTTAATCAACTATGTTTCAGAATCAAGGAGGATCACTCTGACCCTTTCAATGACATGTTTTTTGTTGTTATCAATCAGTTCAGCATTTTCTTCAAAGAAAAAAATGTGGATCTGACCCATCATAACTTTTATTCTAGTCTGAATTCAGTGCTTTCTGGAATAATTTTTTTTTGAGGGAAAAGAAGGCTTAAAAGACTCTTGGATAATATCTCTTGCAATGGAACACTTCAAAGAGTTAGAGGGAACTTATTTCAGCACACAGAAGACATTTTCCTAAGGATGTTTATACCATGACACCTAAAGATGGCCCCTATTTTTCCCCACTTTGAATCTCAAATTTACTGAAATGTCAGTTCCAACTTATGACACTGGGAGTCTCCAAACTTAGTACTTCATGGATGCTTTGGCAAGCAATGCTGGAAACAAGCAGGAATAATGTGCCGCCCCTACAAAAAAGTCATGGCAACCTCAGAACTGACCTGGATTTTACTTATGGGCTTACTAGAAATTACTCTTTACTGAGTAATCCTGGTCAAGTCAAACTCTATCCACTTACAATTAGATGGAAACAGTGACAACTTTTCTCTATTTCTCTCCCAAGGACACTGTGGGGACAGATTTGATCTTGACCATAACACATAAAAGGACCAGTCTTTTCATCATTCTGTTCCCTTGACTCAATGAGAGTTTATGTTGTTTTAAAAGAGAAACAACGAAACCAACATTTCACACATCTTCCCTCTCCACCCCCTTACCCATTCTTCAATGTAAATCATTACTTAGGTGTAGAACAATATGGAAGTCTTACTAGATTCACGCAATTGATGTTTGCTGCCAGCTGATTATGCACTGGGAACCTTGGGGGAGAACAAAGATGAACAAGACCCCATCTCTGTCCTGTTTCACTTTTCTTGTACTGAATTCCCTTCAGAAAACACAGTTAGAGTGAACCCTAGTCCCATCCAATGATGAGATGCTAGAATCTGATGGTTTAATCTTACTTTTCAGGCTACAAGGAGATGATCTGGAACTTCTGATACCAGGGGCTTGAAAGACTTCCCAAATGTAAACAGCAACAACAACAGCAACAACAACAACAACAACACTTAGACTGGGATTTTATGGAGGCAAAAGATCTGCTTTAACCTATCAAAGATGAAACCCACCTGAAACCCAAAATAAAGGGCAGTTTCATGGTTGGAGCTCCATGGGCTGGAGAAGACAAGTATTTCCTAACTGGTTCCCTTAGAGACACCAATCCTGGCAAATGGCTACTCTTCCTTCTTCATCCATCCTCATAAATGGTTTTAACCAGGTGCCCTTGGAAGGCTGCTAAGTTGAAAAAAAGCATTTCTGTTTCATCACCAATGAATACATGAATACCCATAGGGTACATGGCCCTAGGCACCATATAGAAATCCACCAAGTGGATTCTTGAACCCATCTGGTACAATAACAAACAATGTGTCAAATCTGCAGAAGACAATAAAGTGTCACTAAAAACTTCAAATAAAAACCTGACTTTTCAACTTTTTTTTATCCAGGGTCACGACCACAGACAATTTATTATGTAGTACGATATGGGTGAAGAATGATCAAGAGAAAGTGTGTTTATGAGTGACATGGATTTGAATGAAAAGATCCAAGTTGTGGAAGGAAAGTGTAAATTTGGCTTTTGCTTTTGGAAATGGATATCAAAATAGTTATAAGAAGCCGCGAAAGCCTTACAGAGCAAATAATCCATAGTGTATCACTTTCATTTTGCAAACAGGGTCACAAAAGCAGTCAAATATAAGCCCAGACACCCAGAGAGTTAGCATACATGTTTGATAGGGAAAAAAAAAAGAAACTTAGCATGCTGTTAGCTATTTAAATAAAATCTATATTGAACCCTGTTTCCTACTGACGGTGCAACTTGGGAAAAAGCAAATTTTCCACAGAAACTATCCCTCCCTCCCCCCAAATCTGCATAGATGTGTATAATACTCATTTTCAGTAAGGCTTTCAAAATATATGAAGTTTTATAGCATTTGTATTTTAAGGATTTAGGGCAAATACATTTTTTCTTCTACCTGATAAAAAGAAAATTAGTACTTAAAGGTTCAAAAATATATCAATCGAATGTTCTTTTTTTACATAAATAAATTATATTGATTTTGGATTTAACAGCTGAAAAAACCCTTTCTGCTTCCACTGGAGGCAAAACTGAACAAAATGTTAGTTAAATAGCGAGAGCAGCATTTCTAAGAAATCTGTGGATAGATAGCATTATACAGCAGCTATGCTACAAGGGTGTTATTAAATACAACATGTTTAATTATTGGCTTCTTTGCTATATGATCAGTTACATAATTTCTTGTTTACTCCTCTGATCCATGAAACTGGGAATCTAGTTTCTGAAAATACACTTGGTCGATTTTCAGTAATGGTATAACAGACTTCTTTGAGATGGTAATTTTAACACGTACATAATTTATAATCCGAAATGTATAAAAGACAATGACAAGCATCATAAATAAATAATGCAAACTGAAATAGTTATGTCAAACGTTTGGACCTTCTGATAAATTAGCAAAACTGTAACAGAAAAATGTAAAAAATACAGTAAATTGTGACAACAATGGACACTAGCAATACTTCCAACATTTCCAACTGTCCTGCTGCACTGCCCACTGCCCCCAATGCATTCCACCACCGTGAGTTTATTTCAAGTCTCAGGTCATGAGCTCTAACAGAAAAGCTAAGACTAAGGGGACTGAAAAATGTTAACCAGCAGGTGGAGAAGGATGGTGATGAGAACTGCCTAAGCAGGTTTCTTCTCAGGCCAAGCTTTTGAAGATAGAGTCTAAGAAAGAATCAAAAATAATGTTAATTTGTAACATATTCTCAACCGTCTCAATAATTTGGTGTTTGGATCCAACTGTTCAATACAAACAAACAGAGAGGCTATAAAGAAGTGGGGGAGAAAAAAAAATTCACAGTCTAACATTATAAAAGGCAGGGTGTTGGTGGTGGTGCTGGTGACAGAGGAGACACACTCAAATTTTGAAAAACTTCAATGGCCTTGACAAAGGACCTTCCAAAACGTAAAAGCTGCCGTCCTATTGGACTATTTCTTGTAGGTTTCAGCAGAGATGTTCTGGGTAAGGAACAATGCAAAATAAAATCTATCATGCTTCCATATTCCTTGGATTCAGAGGGGGTGAATTCGTTGCCAGGAAAAAAAAAACTAAAAACAAAAAACCCCCAACCCTCTGTAAAGAGTATTAATGCCATAGATAAGAATAAAATGCCAGTATAATTCTAAAGTAATAGGATTTAAGTAGTGACTGTTCCTCCCCACTGCCCCTCTGCTCATAGCCTACCATGTGTAAAGCTTCCTCAGTCAAACTGAGAACAATTTTTTTTAAACTGTGGAGAATAGGGGGCACTAAAAATAAATCAAAATTGTCATTTAATAAAGTATAAAACAACATCTCCACTTGATTCAGATGTCTGAAAAGCCAGGAAAGGGGGAAATTATATTGCTACCAGTTATATTTTTGTTGTTTTTTTGTTTTTTAAAAGAAATGAATATATGTTTTCAATCATTAGTTATATACCTGTCTATACTACTCATCTAGTAATCATGATAACATAGGGAAACATTGTAAATCAAAAATACACATTAGCACGTATTATAGATGTGCTTCTGGTCCCCCAATACCGGTTTGTTTGTTTGTTTTCCATTTAGTATAATTCGCAGAAAAAGGCATTATTACCCTTGTCTCTGTTCTGTATTTTAATAGCGGATCACTAGACAGATGCTTTCTTTTGCCTTTTTCTCCCTACCAAATAAGTAAAATATTTGGAAGGGAATGGGGTAGGACATGTCACCAAGTACTGAATTGACTATTGTTTGCTGGAATGAACAACTGGATTACAGAATGACGATTCTGTGCCTCCCAGACTAGCTAGACAACACTTTTATCTAATAAAGTGGCGAGACCCTGAAACTATTAATATTTGTTACCATAGTTCCTGGACAGGGAATTAGGTAGGTAATATTACTCATGGAAACACAGGTTTTTATGAAGGTGAAGTGAGGCAAATAACAAATCTTTATGGGATAAGAAACTTACAAGCCACAATAATTTTCTTAATGAAATAAAGTTCTAATTGGTGTCACTATGAGTTCCTTTTAAATCGCTTTGCTCAGCTTGTACACCATGTTCTTTATCTGTGGGCAAAAGTGGGGTGTGCTCTGAACAGTTCTGACCATGTCCAGATTGTTTTTCTGATATGGGGACAGTTTCTGGGTCTGGATTCAGGGTATCCCCTTTTGCTTTCTTTCTCTTCCTCTTCTGGCTTTCTAGGCTTGTGTTCTCAGAGTGTCTGGTCTGCTGCATGCCTGGCAATGTCATGCCAATGCCGGGAGAGAGAAACATTGATGGGTAGATCAGTCCAGGAGACATTCCTGGTAGGAGAAAAGGGTTAAAAGCTACAGGACTACTGGTAGTTATTGCAGGTTCAGACTGATCTGAAAAGGAACTAGGAATAGGCTTGTCTTCAGCTAAAGTATCTTTTTTTACATCATGGCTATTCTGTTTGTCATCGGTAGCCTTTTCTGTGTTTGACGTACCACTTTTAGTTGTGCTTGTTAAAGACGTTGGAACCGTTGAAGTACAAGTAGTTGTCATGGGTGTATTCAGAAGTCCTCCAACACCAAACATCTGGGGTACAGCTGCCATGCCTGGCAGCATCATAGGCAGCATACTGAGGGTGCTTTTGACATCCTCTCCAGCAGGCACTGCTGCAAAGCCAGCAGGAAACCCCACCAGCCCTGTGAGAGGGATGCCCTGCATATTCCTCATATTCTGAAGTCCTACTAGATCCATTCCAGCAATGAGTCCATTCATGAACAGTGGTCCCATTCCTGAGGGAGAGTCTCCCACAATGCCAGGAGCCTTAATGAGGTCACTTCGTGGGCGCCTTCCTCTCCTTCGAGGACCAACATCTCGGAGAACTGGCTCAGTTAGGATCTGACTGAATTTGTTTTCTGGTAGAAACCCCTAAAAATTGGAACAAGAAACACAAAACCCCTCAGTTACTACCCTATAGAAAATCATCTGGAGTGACTATAATGTTCTCATACTGGCTCTTCCTTCCAGAGAGTGTACTTAGTAAAAATGTATGGATTAGCAAAGAAGGCAACTAACCTATCTAAGGCTGGTGGGTATTTTACCCAACCATTCTGGCGGTTCCTTACTGTGTATTTTGTTTTCTAACTGGGCCTTAAATGAATGCTGAGGGAATTTGTTACAATCTCATCCAGAATCAAAACCACAATTCTACTATAATATTCCAGACCTACTACTGGACAAATTACCATTTGAACAAAGCTTCAAAAAAACTCACTAGACAGAAGCAGTCTTTACCCTTTAGAAAACCTGTGAAAGTTATTAGGAATTAAAGGTTTTATTAGAAGCAATACTAAGACTTCACTGGCAAGTACTAATGACCTGAAATGGCGTCTGTAATATCACAGGACACAGTTTCATGTTATCTAAATTCTATCTGGAATTAGCATCCTCATTTTATCAAGTTGCTGGATAAATAAATACCATTGAAGGATTTGATGTTTTAGCTTACCTTACAGATCTATTTTTCTTCCACACAGGGATTTGCTACCCAATTTTCTTGACATGCAAAAAAACACTTTGGTGAAGCTCTTAAGTCTGATAAATTATGTGTTAAAGGATAGTAACCTGACACTACTAGGGACTCACATCCATCAGCTACTAAACGTCATATATATATATATGGGTCACCTGTATAACATGTTTTAACATGTGACCATCATGAGATTTCTGGATTATTAAGATTTCTAAATTGTAGCAGGAAACAATAACAGTATCTCACTGAAAACTTTCAAAGGAAGCACAATGTAGCAGAAACATCTGGGGTTGATTCCTGGCTTTCCCACAAACTTACTGAGAACTCTTAGATAAGTCACTTGTTTCCTCAGCTCTAAAATGAGAAGGCTGGACTAGATGATTTCTGAAGTTCTCTCCAACACTTAGTCTCGGTGGTTCTATGACCTACAAATTAGTCACTGAAAGTTCCTATTGTAAATCTCATAATTATTTTTCAGTTAACAAGCATTTATTTCCCTCCTTACCCTTCCAGACTGTAACCTCCTCCAGAGAGAGAGAGAGAGAGAGAGTGTGTGTGTGTACCCCCAAACCAAACCCTTGTAACAAATACGCACAGTTAAGCAAGACAGACAACTTACTGACCATAACATACTACTGAAGTGCTCCTCATCACGGCACTGAGTCACCCCAAGATTCTTGAAGGTCATGTCAATAGAGCGCAAGCTCTGGCACATTTTGCCAAACTGGACCCAAGCTTTGAATACAGTCTTGGCAGAGATTACCCAATGATTCTAGAATAAGTTTCATGGTTCAATTGTTTCAAACCAATGGAGACACTGAGGAGGTTCCCTATTAATGGAATTTAAACCTTCTTTCAAAGTTCTATCTTGTGTTAATACCCTCATTTCCCAATGAAGCAGAGAGATGGAAGGAGGGAGGCCAACTGGCCCATCCTGAATGATACCTAGACGTACTTTAAGAGGTCTACCAGCAATGATGTCAAGAAAAGGGAAGCAGGAACAGATCTCTCCTGGAAAAATGTTAAGATATGCAAAGAGATGATAACCTTGCCAATACCTGCTTCACACGGTGGTTTAAATTGTTTTATAGAATGTAAAACACTACAGAAATGTCAGCTACTACCAATTACAGGACACTGCTTAGAGACTGCTGTAATACATAGTTTTGAAATGATCTGTATAAATGCATCAGGTATGATGCCTATCAATAGAAATAACTGATATTATGTGTCTCTCTGTTTACAGGCGCATTCTCTGGTTCCTAAGAACTGTAATAAACAAACTTTTAATAGAGACACCCTAATCTGGCTTGGGAACACTGTCAGTCAAATGTAATTGGGCCCTCTGGCTATTATACCCATGTGCACAAGCACTGAAGTGAATGATCCTATCCAGTCTGAAATTAAGGGCAGGATACAGAAATGAATTTAGAATGAAGGAATAGCCCTATTTTAATTTGGTAGAGAGGTCACAGAACATGGTGGAAAAAAGCACTCACAGCCTGGAGAGGTGGGTTCTAGTCTTGACCACTACTGAGTAGCTGTGTGGTACTGGCAGTTCCTTGACTTTTCTGGGTCTGTTTCCTCATTTATAAAATGAAAAGGTTGAATTAGTTCATCTCTAATGTCTCCTTCTATGATCCTATGGAAGTGTTTCCCCAGACAAAGGCAGCAGAACAGAGTTAAAAAGTTCTTGGGGGGCTTTGTAAGTAATGCTAACAGATGCTTTGGTTTTCCTATCTTTGCAGACAGTACCAGAAATTATCTTTCAGAGCAGAGCTACTAAACATACCTAAGGACTGCAGTGGGCAGCACACTGATTTGATTTTAAAATATATTATTTAGGTTTTGTTGTATTTTTATTTATTTTGTTAAACATTTCCCAATTACATTTTAATATGGTTCAGACTACACTTGAAAGTGCTGTGGTCTAAGAACTGAGTTTCTGACACCTCTGCCTTAGAACAAGGCTTAGGTCCATTTAACAATGAAGGAGACATTTGTGCAAAGAAGATGGTTAGTAAGGAAGGCTCTAAAATAAATTTTGACTCTAAGTAAGTAATCTACTGAAAGTGATAAACCTTAGCTTCTAGTACACTAAGGCAATTCAGGTGAAAGTAAAATAGGAAAAGGCATCAACAAAAATGCACAATTTTCTCAAATGTTTCTAAAACCAATGCTTAGAGCACATAAAATAAGCAGGAGGAATAGATTGCATAGTATAACCCTTATTTCTATAATGCTTTATGGTTCAGGAAGCATTTCCCCCAATAATATCTGTATGAAGTAGATAGTATAATTACAGCTTAAAACTGCACTAAACACATTTGGAACACTGTATTACCTCCATTTTACCAATGAGGAAATAGATTAAGTGACCTACCCAAGGCCATACAGGTGCTAAGTGGCAAAACCTAGGCTCAGAAATAGGCCTTCAATTTAACAAACACTATTGAATGATTCAGTACTACAAATACAGCATTCGTTTCATTTGGCCTTCATAGAAGAATTGGAAGTCTTAGTATAACCCTCTGATCCTGGCCATGATAATTGCTGCCTAGCTGTGAATGCTACTTCAACTCTGAACCACAGTTTCCTCACTTATGAAATGGGAGCAATACTCCTCTTACTTATAAAGTTGTTGTGAGTTCTTACCACTATTACTGCAACAATGAAAAACACCATCAGCTCATTCCTAGCATGCAGGGTTTCCACCACCCTGGAATTTAGCATGTAAAATGGAAGATGTTGTTAACTTGTACAGCACATATAGTTAAATGCTTCCAGACCTAAGAAAAGAAACTAGGATTTCTTACATTAAAGGTAAAAGGGGAAAAAAGGCGAGCGCATGCGTGTGCGCGCGCGCGCGCGCACACACACACACACACACACACACTCCCCGCACCTTTTTATAGGTGATAGCTCCAAGATAGACAGGCTTCCTCTTTCTGTATTCAAGTGGCTTTGGTAGAAGATGTGGGGATGAGAGAGAGCCTTACCAACTTAAACATTTATAGAATAAGTAAAATACCATGTTGTAAATCATTTAATGTTCTTAGAGAATATTTGATTACATATTTTTAAATTGTAAAAGGAAAATGAATTGACCTTGGTAGATTCCTTTCTTTGTTTTTAAAGCTGATGCCTATAGAAAAGAATTAAGAATGGACAGAAATTATATAAAAATGATTATTTTTCCATATAATTACTGATTTAATATCCTAAGGAAAGAAGAATCACTTAGTAAAATAACTGAGCTAATTACATATTTATACATATACACACCTATATGCGTATATGTATATATATATCTTAGGGAGCCTGTCTTCAACAAAGTGATGGAACCTGTGGTGGGAAAGACACAGTATAGTTTCCATAAAAATCTGGGTCTCCTCTAAGCATGACACTGTAAGGCAGTTACTAGTACATTCATGTATAATTTGTTTATCTAAACAGACGATGAAGCTCAGTCTTAATCCATTTTTAAGCTGAAAGGTTTTTGCCTTAACTAAAAGTTTTATTTTACTTTTTGGCTTAGACCTGTGTTTGTATTGGTGTAGGGAATGCTCAATGTGTAAATTCCTAGCACTGATGCAGATTGGCAACTGTTTGTAATTCACCCAGTCAGAGATTGCCTGGGGCCACTGAGAGGCTAAGGGACTTGCTCACCCACAGTATGTGCCAGAGGGTAAGACTTGAATCTAGGTCCTGCTGATGCCAAAGGCTGTCCCTTACCAAGTATGTCACATGATTGTTCCTAGGGGTTATGATTTTTCTATTAATCTACTCATGTTTGCAAACCTGAAACTTAACTCAGTTTTACCATAGCAGATGACATCTTTGAACCAGCTATATCCTGACTACCAGCGAAGACAGACTAGATCTTTAAGTAACAGAAAGGTTAGCGAGGTTGGTTATAAAGGATTTCCAGTAGAAAGCATTTCCTACAGTGACATAACCCGGAACAGGTTCCTGAAGTAGAGTGTGGCTCTTTTCTTTTGATGATCTTAATAATGAAGGAAGGCCCAGTCCTGCTTGGAGGGTTCTGGAGCGGGAGACCTTTGGAAGAAGTCAGCCACCAAGCGCTCATGAAGCACCTACCACAGGCCAGGCACTGAGGATACAAAAAGGAAAACAAAACCACCCCTCCTGGCAAGGAGCTTATATCCTATTAGGGGAGACACCCTGAGAACAAGTAAGTCCACACCAACTAAGGATACTGGGGAGGGAATTAGCAGCTGAGGGAAGACCTGAAAGCTCTGAAAGAAAGGAAGGATTATAAAAGGTGGAGGTGAAGCAGAGCGCCCTCTAGGCAGAAATGAGGAGGAAGAATGTTCCAGGAACGGGGGACAGGAGGGGTGACAGGAGGGGTGACAGGGAGCTCCTGAAGTTCACCGAAGAGAGGTGATACTGTCAGATCTGCATTCAAGGAAGATAAACTGAATGAAGGATGGACTAGAGTGGGGAAATGAACCAGAAGGTGATTTCAATAGCATAGACAGAGGTGATGAGGGCCTGCAACAGGGTGGGGACAGTATCAGGAGAGAGCGACTGTATACAGGAAATGTTAAGAAGGTAGAAACCACAGGAATTAGCAAATGATTTAATGTTGGTGAGATGGGGGGAAGGGAGGAGTGGAGAATGACACCCCTGGATTGTAAGCCTGAGTGACCAGAAGGATGGTGATACCCTCAGTTGTAACAAGGAAGTTAGGAAGAAAGGGTTTGGGGAAAAAAATTATGAGTTCAGTTTCAGAGACGCTGATTTTAAGATGTCTGTAGGACATCCAGTTTGAGATGCACTATAGGCAGTTGGAAAATGGAAGTCAGGAGAGTTTAGGGCTAGAAAAATTGATTTAAGAATCATCTACAGAGAGACAGCATTTGAATCCATGGAGTGGATGAGATTACCAATATATAGAGAGAAGATGGCCTGGAACAGAGCTTTGGGGGACACCTATGACACGTGGATATAACTTTGATGAGGATCCAGCAAAGGTCACCGAGATGGAGCAATTGGACAGGTAAAAGGAGAACCAGGAGAGAGTCTAGGAGAAGGTGATTGACAGTATCAAAGGCCAAGGTCAAGAATGAAGAGAAAAGGGCTAGGTGGCGCAGTGGACAGAGCACCAGCCCTGAAGTCAGGAGGACCTGAGTTCATATCTGGCCTCAGACCAAACACTTGACACTTACTAGCTGTGTGACCCAGGGCAAGTCACTTAACCTCAACTGCCTTAAAAAAAAAAGAATGAGGGAAAAAAGCCATTAGATTTGGTAATTAAAACATCACTTTTAGCTTTGAAGTAGCAGTTTCACCGGAATGATGAAGTCAAAGGTCAAACCGAAGAGTGTTAAGAGACAGAAAAGGAAGCACAGAGATGGGAGGTGGACTGTTGATCTAGAAACAGCAAAAAACATTCTGGCCAATATGGTTGAAATGGAGGTTGCAAGAAGGTGTGAGTGAGATATATATCTATCTATTTATATCTTTCTATATCTATATACCTAAATATCTGTATATGGCTCTATCTATTTATCTATACATCCACCTACCCATCTATCATCTCTTTTGGGGGCTGCTAGGTGGCACAATGGAGAGAGTGCCAGCCCTGCAGTCAGGAAGATCTGAGTTCAAATCCAGTCTCAGACACTTACCAGCTATGTGACTTTAGGCAAGTCACTTAACCTTGTTTGCCTTAGTTTCCTTATCTGTAAAACAAGCTGGAGAAGGAAATGGCAAACCACTTCAGTCTCTTTGCCAAAATAACCTCAAATGGGGTCACAAAAAATTGGAAATGACTAAACCACAAAATCTAGATAGGTTTTTGTGACACTGCTCTCCTGGTTTTCCTCCTACTTGTCCTACTGCTCCTTCTTAAGTTTCCTTTGCTAGATCCTGATCCAGGTCATACCCATTAACCATGGGTGACCCCCGAGGCTCTCTGTCCTAGGCCATCTTCTCTCTATACAGTGGTGACCTCATCAGCTTCGATGAATTCAATTAACGTATCTATACAGATGATTCTTAAACTGATTTTTCTAGTCCCAACCTTTCGTGACTTCCATTATGTATTATATATTCAATCACATAGGCATGAGGGATATAAAATATATATCTAGATCCACACAACACACATATACACATACATTTACACACACACAAGACATATGTGTATATGCACAAATACACAGGACACATGTATATGCACACACATACATATATGTATATGTATACATATACACATATAGGTACACACACGCACACACACACACACACACACACACACACACACACACAAGGTTGGGGCCAGGTTGTAAAGGGCTTTACAAGCTTAACAGAGGTGTTTATATTTGACCTTAAAAGCAATTAGGAGACAATGGAATTTACTGGGGAAAGGACTGACATGGTCAGTCCTGCCCTTTAGGAAGATTACTTTTGCAGCTGTGTGGAGGACAGACTGGACAGAGGACAGACCTGAGCCTGGGAGGCCAATTCAGAGGCTTTGGCAACAGTCCAGGGAGGAGGGCGATGAGGGCCTGAACTAGAATGGTGGTGGTATGACCAGAGATAAGGGATGGATTCAAGACTGATTACGGAGGTAGGAAATACAAGATTTGGCAACTGATTAGATATGTGGGGTGAGGAAAAATGAAGAGATAAGGATAATGCCAAGGCTTTAAATGTGGGTGATTGGTGGTGGGCTTGAGAGAAAAAAATGAGGAGTTCAATTTTGGACATGATGAGCTTGAGATGCTTAGAGCTGAGAAAATCAGCAATACTTAATGTTTTCAGCTGCATGTCTTTACCTACTTATGTCACCTCTATCCTCCTCAACTTTTCTATAGATATTATTTGGCAAATTAGATTTTTTAGCCTAGGCTTTGATCAACAATGAGGGTTCACTACACAACTCAATACAATATTCTCTGCATCTCAAATGTCCTCTCCCTTACCTGCCGTCCTGTCTCCTTATGGACAGCAGGGACTCTTTCTTCTCCACTTAGGGAGCCCATGTCCAATTTTCCTGGTTCTTTACAACGCTGTCTTCTCTGCTTCGGTTTGTCTGAAAAATTCTAAGAAGCAAAGAGAGCAAACATTAAAATGTTAAACTACTCTCCTGCTGCTTTTTAAGGAGCTGGCTGCTACTCCTATGTAGCTGTCTCTTTCATTACACTTCTTTCTAAGAGCCTGACACCAAATTAAACAGAATGAAATACACTAAGGGCTAGCCCATGCCAGGCCCTTCTCTTTGTTTTCTCGTTCCTTTGTCCTTTAACTTGGAAAAAGTAGATCAAAGCATCAATGTTTAGTAGAAAGTAAAACACATCAATGATTTAAAGTTGTGTTTATCAAAATTTTAAAACATGTTAAAAATTGTTTTTACATGTAACTAGGAAAAAATTAAAGAATAAAATACTAAACAAAAAAAAATAATAAAGTTGTGTTTAGCTGTACAGTAGAAAGAACTTAGGTTGCTTTCTGTTTGCTCCAGGCTCTAAGTAGGCTAGAGATAGCTGGCCTTGGAAGAGTCTTTGTGGTACTTTGTGTGCACCCACCAATATTTTATCCTCTGAATTTTTGCAATCGCCTTGTCACTTATGTACACATGTGTTTATTCTCTTTTCACTTGGGGGAAGGTTAGGGTAGAGGGGCTTTCTGTCTCTGAGCCTTCTCCCCTCCTTTTTTTATGAAGTCCTTTACAGGGTTTATTATTACAGTGGAGCTAAGGTCAAGGGAGTGGGGTTGACAGTTAATGGAGAAGAGAAATATTAAAAAGGAGAAATTTCTTAAGATGATTATATTCTTCCAAACCATTGTCCAAGGGATGATACTACCAAGGTAAAACAGAAGGAAAAGTCCCCAAAAGACAACTTTAAGGACAGCAGTGATTCAAAAACAACAACAACAAAACACCACAAACTAAAAATCATAAAAATGTTATCTAGCCTCTCATTTCATAATTTGATTTCTCTTGGAACCACGTCACCTAAACATCACAATGTGAGTGAGTTAAGTGCTAAGCATTTGAGGTTTCAAAGAAGTGTGAGGACAGTTCTTTGATTATTAAGTTTCAGCCACATTCACTTCTTCATAGATGTTACTGACTTGTAAGTTACAGTTAGAGGATTACTTGGTAGAGCAAAGGTCTTGGAACCATATACAAAAGGACTTTTTTTAAGTGACATGACACCCCCAGTCTTCATACATTTCACTGAAACAAATCGCACACTACTCTCTTCAATAAGCTCTTGATCTCAAACTCAATCAAGTCCCATGGAAATGTGTAGAAAGAAGACACACATTGTGTTTCCACTTACTGTCCCAAAGGTAGGAACTTCTATTGTATAATCAGATTGTTGCCTTAACCAGTCCAACAAACTCTTGTTGGGAATTGTCTTCTCGGCTGGGACACTGGTTGTTGTGACTGTGTGAGGAGAGGAGGTAGCCAAGATTGGCCCATCAGGGAGGGTCCTGCTTGGTGAGGGCTGCTCCTGCTCTGCATGGACCTCCTAACGAGAATAGAGAAAAAAAAATGAGTATTTGGGAATATGCAATGTGTGAATGTATTGGAATGGTTACTGGACTTAAAGTAAGAAAACTTGGGTTCAAATCTAGGCTTTGATTTTTATTAACTATGCGACTTTACTCTCTCTGAGCATCATTTCCAAGTCTAGAAGATGGAGTATTGTAATACTACATTTGCTAACTGTTTCATAAAGCTGCTGTTCTGATAGCATTTTATAAAATGTAGAGGACTATAAAATGTGACTTATTAAGTACTAATAGTAGAATATAAGAATTTCTAAAAAAACAAACAGGTAGTCTCAAAAATTTTTCTTTAATTGTTTTCATTTTTTCTTTACCTTTACAACTAGAGAGTTTCAGTAATAATTTTAATATAAATATAAAATATAAAATAAATGCAATGTTCTAAAAATCCCAGTAGAAGACTTTGTTTTTTGGAAAATGAGGAAGATTAAAAATAAAACACAGTTCTGTATAGCAAAGTCTCATTGACTGCACATGCTGACTGTCAAAATAACTTACTTGGAGAACTCCTTAAGAGTCTGCCTAATATGATGGATGTTCTAATAAACCTTGTCTTTGGCTGAAAGAAGGTTTGGGTCGAATTCTTTCGGGCAGGACCCTCAGGTTGTGATTTTGGGGTCCCAGGACCCCGAAACACCTAAACTGCATCATATTGGTGGCTCATACGTGGAAACTGCCTAACCCCAAGTTCTTCTCCAGCCAAGACTGGAAGGTATGTAAGCCTCCTCCCTCCCCTCCCTTGCTCTGCAGTTGGGGTTGTTCTCCAAGCACCAAGGCTTGGAGGTGCTTTTCTAGCAGACAGTTACAAGGCTGTCTAGCACTGGGCCTGACACTCTCAGGCTCTTGGTTCACTGGGTTGGTTCAAGGCCAGGGAGCTGGGTATACCTTCCACAGCATAGAGGACAAGGACGGGCGCCCTATCTGGAAGTGTATCTGTTAATTCCCTTGGAGCTAGGGAATTGGGGAAAACTGCAGTTGCTTTTTGGTTCCCTGAGGCTTACTTACTCCTTTCCCTCTGTACCTCTGAATCCTCCTTCATGGAGGTTACAGGTAAAGTTAGAACAGCTAAAAATATCTTGGCAGATTCTAGAGGTTTTGTGATTGATCATTAAGGAGTTTTGAAACACCTGTACAACCCTGGTTACTCCTTTCTCCCACTCCCTTCCCTTGAGCCAAGAGGGTATGTTAACTCCACTCATAGAAGAGAGTTTCACCCTTTACCCCTCACTTTTGATTTCACCCTCCCCCACCTGGGAAAGGAGGTAGGGAGGAGGGGCAGCAGCTACAGCATGGGGCCCACTGGCAATGGCCTTGGGCTCTGGGGCAACCTTTGACTGGAAGCATCACCCAGGTTCAGCACATTCTGCTCAAGGTAAAGAAGCTGGTCTCTGAACTTGGGTAAGCATGCTCTTTTAAATTTGTAGTTTTAACTGTTAATGATGAGATGTTGATTCTCTGTGTAAAGTAATCTGGAAGTGCATTTAACAAAACTGAAGTCACCTGATTGGTAATGGGTTTGTTTCAAGTTTCAAAGTCATAATTCGGTCACCGCTAAAATAAGTTAGCTATTGTTGGTTATTGTTTTAATGTATAAACTAGCCAAAAAGTTTGTTTGGGTTATGTACGGCTTGCTGAGAATTTGCAAATGTATGGAAATCTCTAACGATTGGCTTTTTACACCTGGACAAATTTAAATTTGAGATGTAAACACTACAAAAGTTTTTCCTAAGTTGTGATTAGTGAAACTTGCTGTTTGAGGTAATAGCTCATGTGATTTTATTTTGAGTTATCTGATGGATCATAATAATCCATCAATAATCAATAATCCACCATCTGAGAGAAATGGCACAAGCTACTCAGAGAAGGTGATACTGGTGGGAAGTCAGCATTGGGAAAAGCTGAGAGGACAATTGGGCCTCAGTCTAAGATGGGATCCTCCTGGCTCAGTTTCCTCATTATGTTCCTTTGAAAGGGAATGTTACCCACCTGGCTATTCCTGAGTCTGGCTATGAGGTGGATTTGGTACTGCATGGTTGGAAAACTGAATTATCTGAATCCAAATAGAGCTAAGGATGTTTTATTCTCTCATTTGGGCCCTAAATCTAGTCCCGGTTTTATATCTGGGCCCTGCAGTCTTTTCTGTCAGATCTGTGTCTTCCAGACTACAGGCCATTCACCTACAGTTGGTACCAAACAGTGAGTACCAGCCAATGCCCCCCATCATTCCCTGAATGCAGCTTGTGTTTGGTTCCATTCAACCTCCTCTTTGGGACCCCCTCGAGGCAGGGACAGCTCTATGCTCTTGCCAGCTGGAAGCAGTTTCAGAAGCTGAGACCTTTTGCCCCTTACTCCAAAAGAATTTGGGTCCCATTTGTTTGAGGGGGGGAATGATGGGGTTGGGATCTGGGCCCCAGAAAGGAAAAACTCTGGACTTTTCCACATGGCCAAATCTCTGGCCTTAGCCTGAGGCTATAATCCCATCAACTGACCTTTCTCTGTGGCTACACCCAATCTTCCCTCCACTGTCTTACCTCCCTACGGCCCCTGGCCATTTCCCACCCTTAATCCTTAGCTAGGCTCCATTCTCCCGTGGCCTCAAGGTCCAGGTCGCAGGAGTTCTGTTCACCCCAGTTTACTGGCCACTCCTAGGTCCCTCCCACAGTCTTTCTGTATATAAGGTCCACCTTGTCTCCATTAAGATGTTTAGATTCTTATAATCTAGCCACTGCTTACCCAGGTTTCAGACTCCTTAAGAGTCTACCTAATATGATGGATGTTCTAATAAACTTTGTCTTTGGCTGAAAAAAAAAAAGAAAAAGAGCCTCTGGATCTTAAAAAAAAATTACTTTTTGCAAGAGGAAACCTTGAATGCTAAAAGGCTAAATGATATAGCTCAATATTCAAGGGTTACTGTTGCATTAGAATTTTGAAATACTGCTTCTTAATCTTTAGATTTCAATGGCAGCTCCTCAGAAAACGCTAAGTGACCTGAGCATTCCTTCCAGGGGCATTATATACCTACCAAAATTCCTGTCTGAAGTGTTCTATCCTTCAAAAAGATGAGATCCATTCCTCCTTCTACATTTTTTCTTCTCCCTCTTCGTCTCCTCATGGCAGCATCATCTCTTCTTAAGGTTCCATTGACAATCTGTCCTGTAACAGGGTGAATTAACCCAGCTTGCAAAATTCCAGACAAATCCATGCCAAGGGATCCCTGGAGGGTGCTGACTGTCCCAATCTTGGGTGTGCTGGTGCTCAAAGGGAAAGGGGAAGTGGTTGCTGAAGACCCATCAGGTGTGCAAGAGAGGTCTATGGCTGACTCTCCACGCCAGCCATTGAGCACAATAGGTGGGTGACCATGGGCAGCAGAGAATTGCTCTAGGCTCCGTGACTTCAAATCTCTTTCCACGTCATACTCATAGGGTCGTCTGTGCTTTCGTTCATCCTTGGTAAATACTGGAGCCAGGAAACTTTCCTATTAATATCAAACGTGGAATAACATTAATATCTTACTTTCAGAGAACTTCTTACGTACAAACAACTTTGTAATTTAGGCAACAGGTGGCTCCCATACGGGTCCAGAAAAAAGGTTTCTGTTAGAAGACTGCCTAGAGGATTGTTTTTTTAGAGGATCGTTCTTGCTCTTCTGACCACCTCTAGGAATAGATTATTTCTCTGGTCTTTTAAATTGTCTTGCCTCATGGTCCAACGAGGTTAAACAGAGCTGATAGGAGAATGTTCATCACTGATGGTCAATGAGACTTGCCAGGATCTAAGGTACTTAAAAAAAAGGGGGTTTCTATAATAAATACAGTTTCTGTGTCAAGTCTTCAAGGCCCTAATGCTCAACTTAATACCCAATTTAGTTAAATGGAGCAGGGATGCTTTCATCAAACTAACCTTCTTCCACTGAGATAAAGCACTTTTGGTCCCTCTCAGAAAATTGAAAGGAAGCCCTCTCCTGTGTCTGTGTGGGGAGAGGGCTGTGAAGAGCCCCATTCTCTGAATTACTTGCCCTCCTTCTAGGTTACTGAAGTACCTTTTGGATAGACACTGAAGTAAGCACACACACACACATTCCCCAAAACCATTAAATTCTCTGCTGAAAAAACATTATTTTGTTGATGCCTTTTATTTTTAACTCATCCCTGCCCCCCAGAGAGAATCATTTAAAACAATTAAAAATACCCAACACAGAAACTTGGATGGAAATGCATATGATGTTTATTTAGTCTTTGCAGTCCCCAACCTCTCTGTTGTGAGGGTAGAGGCACATTCTGTTGTTTCTTCTCTAGGACCTAATTAGTTTTTCAGTTACTGAGAGTTCAGTTTCTTTCTGATGATCACTGCATTTGCATTATTAGAAACATCATCTATTGTATTTTTGGTTCTGCTTATTCCCTATCAGTTCAAACAAACCTTCCCAAGATTTGTTTTTTCTAGATTCATCATTTATTACTGAACAATAATATTCCATTATACTAATACAGAATAATAATATTCCATTATACTAATAAATAATTTTTCCCCAGCCATTCCTCAATTGATAGATGCCCATTTTGTTTTTAATTCTTTGCTTCCAGAAAGTATGCTATGAACATTTTGGAACACGATGGATCTTTGTTCCTGTCTTTACATCTCTCCAGGAAATACACCCAGAAGGGTGAACCACTGTCACTCTTCTTTCATAATTTCAAATGGAAATCCAGAATGTCAGGACCATTTCACAGTTCTACTAACAGTGTATCAGGGTACGCAGAATTCTCTGCTTTATTTTGGTGGTGGGGAACATCCACTGTTACTTCTTTTAAAAAAAGGATAAGGGTTTTAAGAAGTAATAATAAACCTAACAAAAACTTTAAATCTCTTCTGATCTTTGCTAATGTACATATAAAGGTTTTTATTAAATCAGCATGCTTCCAGGAAAACACGTTAGGTGAAATGTTACAGGGAACAGTTGGAAACTGAAAAATAGAAACAATGTTATAAATGTCCTTGATAGCCAAAATATTTATTACGTAAGTGTAAAATAGATATTTACAGAGGCTATGTAGTTTTAATAATGGTAAATATTATTGATAATATAATGGTAAAATATATTGGCAATAATAGTAAAATATTAAACAAAACAATAAAGACTGACACTTAGGATTCAGTGCTAGTTTATAGTCACCAGTGATCCAACATACTTGTATCTTGGATGATTGGACAAATGAAATTAAACCTAGGTTTCATGATGTTAAAGTGAGATTTGGTTAGATAACATACTCATAATACTATTCTGAAATCACAGGGCAGAGACAGAGCGTTCCACATATGGCACTTGTGATACATTTTTATTGTATTTGTATCATTTTCTACTCTGTGCTATTTCTCTGTGTAGGTGTCTTAGGACCTCACTGTATTTTAAGCCCTTTAAAAGTTGGAACCATGCATTTATCTCTGAACAGATATCTCTCACTATTTATTGTGCATTACACATAGTAAACACTCAATAAATGTTTGTGGACTCATGAGTGAATACACTGAGAGAGGTTATAGACTTGCCATTTACACATCAGAGTATTCTCGCATAGCCACACACCATCATTTACTTAACTAATTTCCCATTATGGGATGCTTGGTCTGTTCCCAGAATAGGTTTCTACAGATTACCCTTTTGTGGGACTGAGGTAGAAGGGGTCAGAAATAAGAGGAAGAAGAGGTACTTATTTTTGGGGGGTTATGCTCCCTGAGGTAAAGGGTAATGAGCTTCGCACATGCTATTTGATCATTCTCCAGGTCTACACTAGTTTACAGTACCACAATCAATGGACTTAGTTCCTCAGAAACACTGGACTTTATTACTTAATTAATTTATTAGTTTAATAGGCATTTAACATCATATTAGTACAGTGTCTGGGAAACAATAAATGCTTAGATACTTTTGTGTTTATTGAAATTGTTTAGATTTGCATTTTTTTATTGCTCTTGAGGCTCTGCATTACGGGTCTGCATTTCATTAATGCAAACTGTTCTCTTTTTGACTATTTACTATGTGGAAGTCAAATACAAATATTATGCATTTGTATTCTAGTATCTTTTCAATTTCTTGGCACAATAATAATATTTCACTGTACCTGGGATAGTGCAAACAACAATGGACCAGGAAATGAAGACCTGGATCTTATTCCAGCTCTGCCACTGGCCAGTGTGGCCCTGGGTTTTGGGTCACCCTTGGTCTCCCAACTTACCCACTCAAGACTTTCCAACAAAGGATAAATAAGACAGCAGAAGTGCTCTGACAAAGTATTATGGAAATACCCTCTATTTGCCCTGGAGATGCAGGACCAATGGATTTCCAAATTCTCTGAGGCTAAAATGTCTCAAAATGAAATGGAGAGTTATCCAGTAGACAAGAGGACAATGTCTATGAATAGTTTTTAAAAGAAAAAATTGCAAACTATAAATAACCATATGAAAACATTACCCAAATTACTAATAAGAGAAATATAAATTAAAACAACTCTAAGGTTTTACCTTACATCCTACAAACTGGCAAAAGTGACAAAGGGCAACAGTCAATGCTGTAGAGGCTATGGGAAAACAGCTGCAGAAATGTACCACTGATGGAACTCTTAAATAGTTAAACCATTCATAACAATTTGGAATTATATGCAAGAAAAAATATTAAGCCATTTATCTTCTTTGACCCAGTGATCCTTCTCAAGGATGTCAAAGACAGAAATAAAAGACTAATATAAGCCATACTATTAAATGGCAGAAAGATACAATGATATGTTAACATAATGGAATATAATTGTGGAGTAAGAACTGATGAATATGAAGACTTTGGGCTAATGCAGAGAGTAAGCAGAACCAGAACAATGCATTCAATGAGTACGGCAAGAGAAATGAAAAGATCATTAAAAGGAACTCAAATTCCTAGTTATTGAAGAACCAATATTTGCCCCAAAGAACAAGTAAAAAAATGGAAGAGACGTAGGGGACTAATACGGCAATACATTGTACACACACAGTATTAGATACAGCCCATCAGTTATTTTTTCGTTTTGTTTTGTTAAATTCACTTTTGGGGGTGGGGGAGGAGGTAGTAGTATTTCTAGAAATGACTGTTGTAAAGACAAAAAGGCATTAGTAAAACTTATTTTAATAAAATGAAATGGACTGTCCTACTGTGAGATCAGCAAAGATGATTCTTCTCACCTGGATTCACTACTTTGGGATGTCTTTGAGTGACTTCTCTATCATGCACATACATGCCCCTCTCCATCCTCCCAGCTTTTCAGCTTCCTTTTGTGTTTTATCTTCCCTCATTAGATTATAAACTCCTCAAGGGCAGCGACTGTCTTTCTTTTTCTGTCTTTGTAGCCCTAGAGCTCAGCACAGTGCCTGGCTCATTTGTTGTTGTTCACTCGTTTCAGTCCCGTCTGATTCATTTGGGGTTTTCTTGGCAAAGATACCAGAGTGGTTTGCCATTTCCTTCTCCAGCTCAATTTACAGACGAGGAAACTGAGGCAAACAAGGTGAAGTGACTTGCCCAATGTCACACAGCTAGTCAGTATCTGAGGCTGGATTTTAACTCAGGTCTTCCTGACTCCAGGCCCAGCGCTCTATCCACCAGCTGCCTCAGCTCATAATAGGTAATTAATAAATGTTTATTGAGACGCCTTTAAGACTTCAAACCCAGATGACTAGGAGAACCATTCTCTTAGAGACTGTAAGGATCACATTTATAATGACAACTTTCAAATATCTATCTATAACCACATTATTTCTCACTTGATAGTTTCACTTGGATATTTACTATCTGTAAAGCAGTAAGGATATAAGGACAAAAAAAAAAAAAACCAGTCCCTGACTTTAAGAAGTTTACATGTTACTAAAGGATAAAATATGTAGACATAAGAAAGTACAAGAAACTTGAGGAGAAAGGGAAGAAACAGCCTGGCATTAGTCAACATTTAGCATAGTATGGGGCACATAACAGGAGTTTAACAAACGTCTGTTGACTTGACGTTGAGAGAAATCCCCTAATGCTACTCACTGAAATCTCTATTGACTCAACAAACAAAGCAATCAAGCAGAAGCTGCTGTCAGCAGCTCCTCATCTGGGGTTGGCACATCACCTGCCCTCTCACCTTTGGGGTCTGTGTGACTAACGCAGCTCCATTGCTGAAGGTGGGGCCTGTAGTTTCTTGCTCTGCAAGGCTGTTTCGTGAGCTAGGACTGCTGATGAACACTGGAGCAGGCAGTGTGCTTGGCATTTCAGACTGTTGGCTAGAAGGCCACTTGCCCTTTAAGACTGCATGGCAGATGTTATCTATGCGGTTAATTATCACTCGGTCCTGCAAATAAGAAAGTCAACAGCAAATCTCTTACACTAGCACTGGGTAGCAGAAGTTTAAATGCAATATGTAAATTCACAAATACTTTCTCCTGAGCACTTCCTTTGAGAGAATTTGAATGGGTTATGGCAAGATGGGGTGAGGGAAAGGGCTAGGGTAGACACTCCAAACCACTGCATGGAAACATTTAAAATCACACAAACACTTCACAGGCAGAGAGCACAAAGAGGAGAATGGGTGCATAGTCAGTGATGGCCAGTATTTCCTCAAAATTAATTGTGCCCACTTTGGACTAAGTGTGATCACAATGCACCATTTCTGATAAACAGACTAAGTGGCCAAATGTGAATATAACTGGAAAAACTAATCAATTCTAATAAAGCTAAAACATTTAGCTGTGAGTTAGTAGAACTATGTAGATGTTAAACATATATATGTATACGTGTATACACACACACACACACACACACACAGACACACACACAGACACAGCGTTACCTAGATCTAGACAGAAATTCTTGCTCACTACACCATATATCATTCTATGTATAAAGTGACTTGGACTTGCAGCCAGAGGACCTGGGTTCAAATCCCAGCACACTAGTGGTGTGACCTTGGGCAAGTCCCTCAATTTTTTGGGCCTGTTTCCTCATCTGCAAAATGAGGGGGTTGGACTAAATGACCTTTAAGGACCCTTTTCCAGTTCTAAATATATTTTAACAATTTAATATTTCTCAGATCCTATGACTAAAAAATCCTCCTAAAAGTTTATTACTTGAGAGTCCTATTAAAATCCAACAAAAACAGGAAGTTTCACCTTCTGAGTTCTAAAATATAAGTTCCTGGTGATTGAAATAGGCTTTTTAGGAATTTCTTAACTAGAAAGTTTGATTCTGTAAATTTTTACAGCCTCACCTCCTTACCACATATACCTAAAAAAAAACTGTTAAAAACTCCATAACCATTGTAATCTTTTAAATATTAGATTAAAGTAAGTATGAAATATTTCTTTAAAATAAAAATGTTGATAAAATGTTATTTTGACCAATGGACTCATGGCTCAAAACTTGCCAGTTTTAAAGAATTAAGTCTTTTAAATAGCATTTGCTGCAATAGTTAAAAACATCAACCATGAATCCCATGAGACCAGTGAGTCAGCAGAAATCCAAACAAAGACAAAGACCACTCTTAGGGAATGCTTTCTGCTAATGGGTAGAGTGTACGCGTGTGTGGAGATGGATATCGTCACAGACTATCTTTTTAGGGTCCAAATTCTGAAGTTCTGTGGACAAGTCCCTGATCTTGATCCCACCACTGGGGCAACAAATATCTTGCTTTTAGCTGTGAGTGCTCTTAATGGGCATCATAATGTTTGGAAGGCACCTTTGGCCATTCGGAGAAGGAATAAAGAGTTTTTTCTTGTAGAAGTTGGGCAATGGTTGGTGCTCGGACTTCTTGGAGTTCATCCCCAATGTCTCCTGCTATTCCAGATGTAGAGCTCTTACTTTCTTCTTCAGAGTATTTTCCTGGATAATCTGAGAATATAAAAATGTGCAGATGAATTATATACCACTAACTGAGATCACAATATTCAATTTATTCTTTCCTTTTTTTGGTGGTGGTGATGGTGGTGGGAGACTGAGTACCCCCATCTTGCACAGGCTGAAAGTTCAGCAGACGCTGATGGGCCCACTCCCAATACTGATTAGCACAGAAGTTTTTCTAATCTGGCCTGGTTAGCCCCTCTCCTTAAGCAGTTTGGTGGCCCTCCACTCCCTGAAGCTCACTATACTGGTGCTGGATGTGGTATCTTTGGCACTCTCAAATGGCTCAACATAAGAAACGGTCATGATTTTATCAGTTTTTGTTAGGTCATTTTTCAGTCGTGTCCAACTCTTCATGATCCCTTTCAGGGTTTTCTTGGCAAAGATACTACTACAGTGGTTTGCCATTTCCTTCTCCAGCTCATTTTTTGGATGAACAAACTGAGGCAAACAGGGTTAAATGACTTGCCCAGGATTTGAACAGGAAGATAAGACTTTCTGATTCCCAGTCCAGTATTCCATCCACTGCACCATCTAGCTGTTCTGATTTTATCAGTAGAAATGACATTAAAGGAGATGCACTGCCATCTTTTTTGCTTCTGTACCCTAAGCACCATGGGACCTTTCCATCTGACTTGCAGCAAAACTTTCCATATGTCTAGTCTCCCCTTTAGCGTGTGAACTCCTTCAGAGGAGGGTTGGTCTTAGTTTTTTCTGGTTCTTCTACTGCCTATCTGACAAATCCTTCTCTGTCTCCTTTGCTGGCTCCTCTTCCAGATCACACCTTCTGACCATAGGTGTCCCCCATGGTTCTGTCCTGGAGTCATCTTTTTCCCTCTATAACTATTTCACTTGGTGAACTCATCAGCTCTCATGGATTTAATTACCATCTCTACAGTGGGCAGCTAGGTGGCGCAGTGGATACAGCGCAGAGACTGAAGTCAAGGAAGAGTCATCTTCCGGAGTTAAATCTGGCCTCAGACACTAGATGGGTGATCCTAGGCAAGTCACTTAACCCTGTTTGCCTCAGTTTCCTCATTGGTAAATGAATCTGGAGAAGGAAATAACAAACTAGTCCAGTACCTTTGCCAAGAAAACCCCAAAAGGAGTCACAAAGAGTTGGACACAACTGAAAATGACTAAAGAAAATGCTGATTCTCAAATCTACCTATCCTGTCCCAAACTCTCTGCTGACCTCCAATTTCACAACTCCAACTGCCTTTCAGACATTTCAAAATGGATGTCCAGTGAACATCTTAAACTCAGTATGGCCAAAACAGAGCTCGTTATCTTTCCCCCAAGCCCTCCCCCCATCCTACTTTCCCAATTTTGGAGAGGACAACCTCATCCTCCCAACCTTTCAGGCTTCCAACCTAGTAGTCATTTCAGACTCCTTACTGTCTCTCACCCTCCATATTCAATCTGTTGCCAAGGCCTGTCGATTTCACCTTTGGAATGCCTCTTGAATATATCTCCTTGTCTCCTCTGACACTGCCATCACTCTGGTGCACGCCCTTATCACCTCATGCTTGGGATTATTGAATAGCCTGCTAGTGAGGGCTGCCTGCCTTATGTTTCTCCCTACTCTTATCCATCTTCCATTCATCCACTAAAGTGATTTTCCTAAAGCACAAGCCTGATTGTATCACCCCCTGCCTCCCAACACACACACACACACACACACACACACACACACACACACAACTCCAGTGACGTCTTATGGTCTTCAGGATCAAATACAAAATGCTGCTTAGCATTCAAAGTTCTTCATAACCTAGCCCCCCTCCTACCTTTCCGGTCTTCTTACACCTTACTCCTGGGCGTGTACTCTTTGATTCACTGACTCTGGCCTCCCGAATGTTCCACAAATAAGGCACTCCCATTTCCTATCTTGGCTCTGGCCGTTTTTGCTGACTGTCCCCCATGCTTGGAATGCTCTCCCCTATTCTGCTCCGCCTAATGACCTTTAAGTTCCAACTAAAATCCTACTTTCTAGAGGAAGCTCTCTACAATCCCTCTTAATTATAGTGCCTTCTCTTTGTTAATTATTTCCTATTTATCCTATATGTAGCTTTTATTGGTATACATTTGTATGTTGTCTCCTCCATTAGACTGTAAGCTCCTTGAGAGCAGGGACCGTCTCTTGCTTCTTTTTTCTATCTTTAGTGCTTAGCATAGTGCCTGGCACATAGTAAGCACTTAATAAATGTTTAATGATTGATTTGCGTCTTAAATGCTCAGCACAGAGTAAGTGCTTAATAAATACTTTATTTTATTTCAACAGACAGACATTAGGAGATAGGTTTTTTTTCTTTTTTGGTAAGGCAATTGAGGTTAAGTTACTTGCCCAAGGTCACATGGCTAGGAAGTGTCAAGTATCTGAGGCCGGATTTGAACTCAGGTCCTCCTGACTCCAAGGCCAGAGCTCTATCCACTGCACCACCTAGCTGCCCCAGGAGAGAGTTTCTGAATGAAAATTTTAAAACATAATGGAATGCAACAAGATTGGTGTTAAGGAGGTATTGTGGAGAATCATTAAACTTCTGATCCTAAAGAACAAAGCAATAAACTGGATCTAATTCATATCAGAAATATTACAGAGAGACCAATGACATTTGTAAGCAGAGAGCTGGCAGATCCCAAGGCAGGATGATTTGTGAATATCTTTTCTCTGTGAGGTGACAAGTCATACTTAGCCTTTCAAAGGTGAGGCTATCACATTGGCTGATGAAAAAATGTCATAATAAATGTCAGAGGCACGGAGCCTAGGGGACACCTGAAATCAAGGGGCAAAGGCTGGGCTGACCACTGTAGGACCAAGAAGGGGACACTAGGACTGGCATGTTCCTCCAGAAAAAACTCCCATTGAGCACCATACTGTAATATACTATATTTAACAGTATATTAGCACAGTAGCATATAGTAAGTGCTTAAATTTTTTTATTTGTATTTTTTTGTGGTTAACTGCAGCTATGCATTATGTTCCTTTACTTTATTCTGTGAAAACTGTTTTCCTTTGCATTGCATACTGTGTGGAATCAAATACTAACCCCTTCCCTTCTCCCTCCCCCTCCCCCCCCAGTTCTTGGATATCTTAAGATTTAAGCTAGGCAGGGGCAGCTAGATCGTGCAGTGGATAGAGCTCCAGCCTTGGAGTCAGGACTCCAAGTTTAAATCTGGCCTCAGACACTTGACACTTAACTAGCTGTGTGACCCTGAGCAAGTCACTTAACCCCAACTGCCTCACCAAAAAGCAAAAACAACAACATTTAAGGTAGGCAGACTGAATTTCAGTTACACTCTCTGTTTCTTGTGCTCTTTAAGAGCTTTCTTATTTACACTTCAGTAGTTCTCAGTCTCCACCCTACCTCTTTACAACTTTGTGGGTTCCTACTCTTTCGCAGCAAGTCAAGCCAATTTCCCAGTTTACTTTCTGTCTCATCTAGTAAAATGACTTTGTTTTCAGCTCACCTCCCACTCCCTCACTTTTCTACTCCTAGAAACAACTGGCAGCATGATCAGCACCTTCCTTTGTGGGAAGAGTTTATTTCTGCAATTATGTCAGTCAATGCGATTTATGGAATGCCTGCTATGTACAGAATACATATAGTTATAACTGGCTAGGAAAGAAAGAAAATGAGACCTCAATTAATCAGAACTCTCCCCTCCTTTCCCATATGCAACTTTTATCAGAAAGGAGCAAAGGAAGAGTCGGACGTCTTTTAAAACAAGAAACCTTTCACAGTTTGTCTTGTCTTGGATAAGAAGGGATTCAGTTCAGTTACCTACACATTCATATTTATAGGACTAAACAATAAGAATTCATGGTTGGAAACGTCGGCCAACCCTCAACAATTCTGAAATCCTCAACTGTCAAGCAAAGATTCAATTAAGTTTTATATAGTGTATGCTAAGGTAGAAAGGAAGATTGTTTTTTACAAAAGTTAAAAAGGGATGAAACAAAAAGGATTTTTTGTTTAATCATTAAGTGACCAACTTCCCTACTTCCACTCTCTCCCTTTCTTCCTCTCACATGAGTAAAAAACAACTGAAAATCCTAAGGCAGGGGTCAGTGAACTTTAAAAAAAAAATTCTGCTAACTGTATTTCAATATCATGCTTCCTTCATAATCCTATGTATTCTATTTTATGTGTTTTAAAATATTATGTTGAGGTGTCCACCCACAGGCTTCACCAAACTGCCAAAGGGGCCCATGATACAAAAAAGGTTAAAAACCTTTGCCCTAAGCATTCTGGCTAATCGAAATTTTCCTGCAGACATGGTCACTACTATGTAATAAGAAATTTAAGTTTTGTAAAAATGCAACATTTCTGTATTTTTCTAGAAAATAAAGTTACATAAGTATTTGACATTTCAAGGGCTATCTTTTTGAAAGGTTCAAGGACCACAGAACATAAGTTATTTTCTTTACCTTCTACCATTCTCCCCTCATATTCCTCCTGCTCCAGGCTTAATTTAAATTGGCTGGTCTAGGGAACCAAAAGTTTCCTTAAAATCTTGCTTTTCAGTGGCATTCCACCATCTCTTGCCATATTTCTTCCCTTTAGGTCTAATGTGGGTGTGGTTTTTTAGTATTTCCCTTTCTAAGCCAAACCTTTTGCTTTGTGAGTTAAGCTTCATGGGCAGTGTGGCAGAATGGAAAGAGCACTGGATGTGGACTCCTATGGACTAAACACTAACATGATGAGTCATGCAAGTTGCTTGGGCCTCACTTCCTCAATTGTAAAATGAAGAGGGTTGGATGAGATGTCTCATGAGGGCCCCTCCAGCTCTACATTTAGTATTCTATGAACAGCATACTCAATACTTCTTTCCCCTTTCCTCTGATGCATCTAGTCCCCATTTTCGTGGCATTTCTATTTCAAAACTTCATGAACTCTTTGTTCAGCCAATTTTAAGTATACATCTTCTATGGATTTTCCACTGAAGACTTTTTCCCCTTCACTCCCACAAGACTGTCAATTTGAGAAAAATACAGTTTCCCCAGATTTTTGGATGAGTTAATCAATCCGCCCTTCCCTCAATTCAGTTTTCTCTTTTGCAAAATGAGATCAAGAGATATTTGTAAAGCACTTAGCATAGTGCCTAGCACATAGCTGGCACTTAATAATGGCTTGTTTCTCTCCCCCCTAAAGTGGGAATAATAATGCTTATATTACTTATTGTGTAGAGTTCTTGTAATGATCTGGTGAGAAAAGGCAAAAAGTATCCTGTAAGCTCTAAATACCTATATATTGTCAACTATAACCTGGAAGTTTCTGTGGAAAGAGCCCTACCTTTAGAGTCAGAAGACTTGGTCGTGAATCCTGGCACTAACACTTAATTAGGCAAGTCATTTTCCCTTTCTGAGGCTCAATTTCCTAATTTGTAAAATGGGAATAATATGTGAATTATCTACCTGATAGGGCTATTGTAAATGCCCATAATAGTGATAATCTTTTTCTTTCTTCTTTTCTTTATGCCCTCAAGAAAAAAATTTCCTTATTTCTAAAAATAAAAATCTATTCATGATTTTGTCTGCTAAGGACAAGGAAGGAGGTGACTATAAACTACTAGCCTTCCACATTTACAGAGAATAGCTCCTTATAAACTGATCGATCTCTCTATTCAAACAGGTGGATGAATTTAACTATATAGAAAGAGTGACTGGGATTGTTTCCTTATGAAGCCAGATTACACATTCATACCATACTAAGATTACAAGAGGCTTCTGAAAAACAGGGCTGGGGTGGCAGTGATATTCTGGGCACTTAAGGTAAGGATCAAAGAAATAGTGAAGGGCCTAGTCAGAAAAATACAAGGTTCCCCATACAGTACCTTGACCCTGTAAGTTTCCATCTTTATCATCATCATCTTCCTTATTCTCAAAGTCCACGTCTTCTTGTTTTAGATCGCTCCTGTCAAGAGGACATGTGGTATAACCTCTTCGCCTTTCTACCTTATCTTCCCAGGAATCTTCTTTTAAAAACTCATGGTCCACTTTCAAGGGCTCTGATAAAAGAGTTTTGTTTCCACCTTCTACAGCAATAGTGTTAATAGTTTTGCCTTTGTACAAGTCTGGGTCAAGGAACTTGGTCTTTTCCATCTCAAATTCCACATTGTTACCCTGATTGTTCCACCTGTCTATAGGTTTGCAGTGACATTCACATAATGTTTGATCCACACATCTTAGCTCTGTAGGATCACGGTTTTGTGCTTCTGGGCCCCCTTCCTTGGTTTTACCTACAGTGAAGCCTCTGTCCATTTCTACTGGTATGTTAATGCTGAGATCAGTTTGACCTATACCCTCTGGCCTTTCCCTTATCTGTGCTCCTACTTCTAAGTTCTCCTCCTCCTCCTCTTCCTCTTCCTCCTCTTCTTCATCACTATGATTCTGACTCAACATTAATTTACCTTCTAGACTTTTATTTCCTAACAAATCAATTAACCGCTGCTCTGAAGAAAGTTTTCTTTCAGAATTACAAACACTAAGGCTACACATCTCCATTAATCTACTTACATTCCCTTGCTCTAAGGGCGGGGGAATACTACATTTGGCTTCGGGATGTCTTACAGTTTCATGTCTCGGAGCAGGTAGGTACTTGTTAGAGTCCATATCCTTTATAGCCAGGAGAGACAAATGCTTTTCATTTTTATTGCTCATTTGTTCTATTTTTGCTTCTAAATTACTCAGGGAATAGCGGTTTGTAGGCAACTCCACTTCAAGGCCACCTGGTTGATTCTCTTTGTTTTTGCTTGCTAAGGCTACAGAAACATCCTTCTTGGATTCAGTGCTGCTGGGGTTCTCTTGAATGAAAGAACTTGGCTCACTGTTGAAAATCTTCTCACCAAACATCATACACTCCAAAGAATCAGGTAATAAGCTTTCATCATGGTTAATAGAAATGATATCCTGTACTTTAGAAATAAAATTTTCACATGTTACATCAGGTAGGTTCCTTTCAGTGTGGCTGAGATTATCACTTATTCTTTCCATTTTTATTTGATTCTCAGATTCAGTATCTATGGACTCACAAGTCCTTCCCATTTGAGTATATGTAAGGGATTCAAAAAGTCTAGAGTTAGTCTGGTAAAGGCAACACGAATTTTCTGGACCTTGCACTTCAGTTCTTCTGTGCTGAGCATAGTTTCTATAGGCATCCAGAAAGGATAACTGTGGATCATTCATGATGTAGTAGTCAGTACGACTGAGCCCATGCTTAGCCGTGCCGATGAGTAAGTCTCGGTCATGCTTCCCACACTCCCACCAGACAGGCAGATAGAGGCTAGGCCTACAGAGCTGGAGGCGCTCATGCAACTGAGGATATTTCAGTACTTGTTCTCGGACCTTCCGCAGAAGTTCAATGCGGTACAAAGTTCTTGCAGCACGTTCTTCTGTGATTGGTTCAACATACAGAGTGGGATCTGGTGGGCCTGAAGAGACAAATCAACAAAAAATTAGTTAATTAATTAATTGATGTGGCCATTGGCAACATGGTGTTTGACATACACAACTCAAAACTCTCTAGAATCATGGGTTGACTCTGTAAGAATCACAAAATAACAACATATAACTATGTTGTCGCAAGTCATTGCTACTGCAAGTCTTGTGTGTTATTTCAGGGACTACGACCAATAGTAAATACCTAAATTGAGGTGAAGATGAATTAATCTTATAGAAGAAACACAGGCTCAGGAAGGGTCAAAGGACAATTTTAAAATCCTAGCCATGTATGTATGACTTTCTGAAGCCATGGTAGACCCAAGAACTTAGGTGTCCTTAAGTCAGTTCTGTTCTCATCCCTGCTTGCTTCAACATTTATAAATGTAGGGGGCAGCTAGGTGGCACAGTGGATAGAGTACTGGTCCTGGAGTCAGGAGGACCCGAGTTCAAATTTGGCCTCAGACACATAATACTCACTAGCTGTGTGACTCTGGGCAAGTCCAGACTCCAACTCCAACTGCCTCACACACACAAAAAAAAAAACCAAACCCATTTATAAATGTCAAATCTTGTGAGGTACAGAATGCCACTATAAGGTTATTTATCTGCAAATGTGTAGTTCAGAGGGCAAAACCACAAACAACTATGCTACTGTAAAATTCCCAAGACTGGTTCAACACCAATTAAAGGATGACCAAATGACAGTCACTTACTTTCAGTATTTTTCACCTCAGATAGTTGCATTTGCAATAGATTTTTAATGTAAGCATGATGCAAAAGTACAGGTAAAAAAACATTCTTAGAGCAATATAAATCGGCCCAATGTTCACAGAAGAATAATTATATTGTTGAGACAATTTTTCTTTAACTATATTGTGAAGTCTTAACCTAACCTGCAATTTTTATTGAACTAAAGTACATTTTTTGTGGGGAAATAGTTTATGAATAATTTTTGTTTTTGGAAGAATGAACTCAACCAGCAGAACTCCACATATTGGAACATATATATATATATATATATACTGCTACAGTTATAGATAAACTAATTTTGAGACTTTCCTTTGTCTCCTCCACGATGTGCTAAAAATAGTATTTCTTACCATCATCTTTCCACATGGGGAGGCGACAAACATTTCTACACATGGCCACAAAACTGTAAAAATATTTTTCTAGGCTTTCATCTGTCTTCTTGTCTAAGCGTGAGATGACTCGAAATTGTGTCCAATCAAAGGATTTCTTTTCTTGATCATAAACAACACCAAAGGAGGATACTGTTCTATAGAAATCTGCTTGTTCTCTTCTTGTCCATCTTGAGGATTCACATAAGGGAAGTTAAAAAAAAAAAGAATAAAATATTTTGCTACTCTCATACTTAAATCGTGCCAATCTGGTGCATGCTGTACTTTTATCACTGCTAACCCACACCTCCAGAGACTATGTCAATTCTGGAAAAGAGGCTACCACCTTCACAGTAGAAGATATGGATATCTAGAAATTTGAACCCAACCACCTCAGACACAGCATCAGATTCCATACTATGAGAAATTTACAATTATGAAAACCTTAATGTTTTGTTCTGTTTAATTCCAAGGACCTGATTAACCTTGGAAGAGAACATTTTCCTTTCATGTAAACTTCTGGCTTAGTTATGAAGTCTAATTTTCTCATGTTTTTTACTAATATATACCATAACCTCCTTTTTTGTTACTATTACCTTTTTTGGGTATCCTTGTTGATAGCATCCATTTCAGTGGCTCTCCTAAATATGTCTTCCTGGACCCAATATCCCTGGTTACCTGGACCTAAAATTTCAGCTCGAGTGGGTTCCTTACGATTACAACGTTGGTAAACAGTAACCAGGCGTCTCAATCGAGCTGTAAGGGCGGAGGGAACAGGCCAGGGCGATCTGTCTGGGTCGGAGCCATCCTGGGCTTCAAACATCAGTGAGGATATTAGTAGTTACAAACAACTAAAATAAAGGCGATATACTTTTAAAAATGAAAACACTCATATTTTCAATTTTTTGTTCCCAAGGACAGACAGGGAAGTACCAGAGAGCTAGAGAGAAACATGGCATAATAACTTACTTAAAGTAGCCATTATTTTCCAAATTAACACATTCCAGGGTCTTTAATTTAAACAAATTCAAGAACAAGGACTCAGTAAAGTGTTTGAAACATTGTGTTGTGCAAAATCTTAGGGGAAAAATGGTGCAATACCTTACTTAAAATTGCCATTATTTTCCAAATTAACATATTCCAGGGTTTTTAATAACAAATTCAAGAACAAGGACTCAGCGAAGTGTTTGAAACATTGCATTGTGCAAAATCTTAGGGATAACTTTCTGTATCTGTAAAGCATAAATACTATGAAGTCTTTTTTTTAGAGTGGGCTGCTTTGTAGGGGTGAAAGAGACCTCTGGAAATTTTAGATATATCTCATATGATGCATGAGATAAGCAAGACCTGTGGCCTTCTTTATTAGAACTATTAAGTATGATGTAGCTGTGCTTTCCTTCCCACTGCTATTCTAAACTATTTCTTGATCCATTAATCTTAAACCCTTACTTATTTGTCCCGCAGAAGAATAATGGATGCTATCTTAGAATTTCAACGTCAATTAGATGGAGATCAAAATCATTTTGACATCTATGTCTCAACTAAACAGAAAGGGCATTGATGGGTCTGAAGAAGGTCAATCTTTCTTAAAGATGCTTATTAAAAGCAGTAGCTCTCTTTTTTTAAAGATATGAATTCCAGCATAACATGTGGTGGATGCTTTTTTTCTTTGCCTTCTGAAGGGCATTGTCTCACCTGCCATGTTTTCATCTTTCTTCTCACTTTCACCAAAACTGGTTTCCTCCTAGGGACAAAGAAAGCCACCACAACCATCAAGGACTGCTACAAACTTCCCTGATCATCACTACTAAGATTTACTACATGCTCTTGTACAGAAAGTATAAGAATATTTAAGAGACATATTCCTTGTGAGCTATCACCCAATCTGGATAAGGCTTGTTTACTGCATGTGTTCCATGTGGTGATTTTCACATATTAAAAAATGACTAGGGGGCAGCTAGGTGGTGCACTGGAGAGAGCACCGGCCCTGGAGTCAGGAGGATCTGAGTTCAAATCCGGCCTCAGATACTTGACACTTACTACCTGTGTGACCCTGGGAAAGTCACTGATTACTTTTGGAAAAAAAAAAGAGAAAAATGACTAGAAAAGAGTTAATTAGTGTTTGCTCTTGTAATTGTATCAAGTAATATTTTCTGTAGCAAATCAGCTTTAAAAATGATGGAGTACAGTTGTTCCTTTAGCAAACACATTTTACAGAAGTCTCATTTTCATGGTGAATTTAGCTAGAGCCTTTACCAATGTTAATTTAGTGCTACCATTTCACCAAAGCTGTATATAACAGTGTCAAACTTATTCATCTCTATTTTTATTTTATCATTGTGTGAAAAACTTATCATTCTGGGGTTCATTATTCCTACCTCAATTCATATCCATACAAAAAATTCATAAAGTACCCAATCAAAGGACCCCATGGGATAAATTGCCAGGAAATTCAAGTTAAAATAATGAATCAAAGCTCCAAGTGAATCTGGACTATTATCACTGGCAGAGATACGCTTCTGAAGGTGGGTATTTTATGCAACTGGCACCAATAGAAATGCCTATAGAAAAGGTTCCTTATTCTAATGAGAAGATCTTTCCTTATTCCCCAAAAAAACAAAACCTGAAATATGAAGTATGTGAGATTTGGGGAGGAGGGAGGGCTAATTTCCATTGAACTGTTTTATGTGGATTAATATTGCCGCTTTTTGATGAGCTCCTTTTGGCTGAAACGATCACTTAGGGTATGCAGACAAGCCTTAGGTGGCATGTGTTTGGACAGGCTGCACATAAGAGATCTCTTCTTGGATTCAACAAGCTGAAGGTACCTGGCAGCTGAGTTTAGGGAAAAAAAAAAAAAGAAGTTGTACCATGGAACACACAACTTATTTAAAATGCAGATAATTATCTTGGAGTCTTGCTCCTTTGAAGAAAAACCACGAAAATGTAAATCAGAGTGGAGTGTCATTTAAACATCTGTTTTTGGAGGAGTGAAGTAATTTCTAGAACTCGATCATACCAGCCTAATATGAATCCTTCTAAAACAAGCACATACCATTAGATGTTCAAGTTCTTTTCATAACATAAGAAAGGAGATAACCTTGAAGCCATCCTTATCTTACCAGCTTTAACTTGGCACAAACATGTGCCATGTTACCTAGCACGGCAGATATATATATATATATATATGTATGTGTGTGTGTGTATATGTATACACACACACACACACACACACACACACACACACACACACACACACATTTAAACCATAACAAATATTTTCCTATTAGTCAGCACCTTTTCTGCAGTATTAGCATCTGTCAGCAATAAGGGCGACAAAGATACTCCCTAACTTGAAACAATGGACAAAATAATACATGAAGGCCGGCCTAAGTCATGAACAATTTGTGGTCAACAGGACTAGCCTTCAGCCTGCTACCTGGAAGAAAGGTCCTACTCTGCTCTGCTACCAAACTCACTGTGTGAACCTCCACATATCATTTCAACTTTCTGGAGCTTTAGCTTCCTCATCTGTAAAACAAGGTGGTAATATTCACTGAGCTGTAAGGGTCCTCCCAGCTCTAAAATTTTATGATTTCATGACATTATTTCTAAGAGAAAATGTGTTCTGAGTCCCAAATAAACTTCTGTAATGCAACTAATGTGTAAGGCAGGCACTGCTTATATCTGGTTTATAACTTCAATTTTAAAGGCATTTAAAATTTAAAGGCAAGTAAAAGATAATTTTAATTATCTTTAGCCTATCTTTAGCCTTTAAGGTCTAAAGTTTAAAGAATCAATGCTAATTTATATGGCTGCATTAACCATTTTGCTTATCTAGCAGCTCAAGGACTTTGTGGAAGTGTATCTTGGAAAAATTCTTACTTCTTAATATGAGAAAATGATAGTCCAACTTCAGTATAAATAGGAAAATAGAGACTACTCTGGGGTAAACACAAGGTCTCATCTTCTCCAGGACAGAATCAATCAATAAACATTTATTAAATGCTTACTATATATAAGATACTGGAGTAGAAACACAGTTACAGCTTCTTGGATACAACTCAGCAGAAGGAATAAGCAAAAGTATACATGTGGGAATGAAAACTTGCTGGGCCTCCATATTCCTAAGGCACATTATAATACATCTGTCTGATGTAATGATAAAGGACATTACCAGGAACTGAGGCAGGAGAAAACCTAGTCCATGGACTCTTAAATTTTCTTTTGTGCCATGGATCCCTCCTCAGAACATTCATAATGGAAGGAAATGCTAAATTTCACATAGAGGTTAGTGAAAACAAAGATAATTTTTTTTCTCAACCTAAGTTCATACACTCTTTGAACTCTATCCATAGACCTTTTGGGGATCAGCAGACCCCAGTTTAAGAATCACTGAGCTAAGCAAATCATAATCATGCCAAGTATTAGATTTAGAATTATTCTACCACAGGGACCTGTATTTTTTTGGCCCCAGGAACCCATTTCTCTTGGACAGTACAGTGTCTCAAGCTCTCTTTGTCCAACGCTAAATTGGGAAAGACTAGAGACAATTTTAAAAAATAAGAAACATGAATAAAAGCTATTGCATATTTGACTTACCAACTGTTTCTGCAGACTATCTAATTTGTCTTCAGTATTATCTTCTTTATCCAGATTGCTTCTAGATAAAAGTTAGAGAAAAGATCACAAAATACCCAGGAGACGTTTCTGTTTACAGAGCACCGGAGTTGGAAAGAACCTTAGAGACTATCTAGTTACATCCAACAGATTGTCATCCAGCATTTGCTTGAAGGCCTTTGGTGAAGAGCAGACTACCTTCTGAGGCAGCATATCACACTTTTGGATAGCGCTAATGATTAGGAAGGTTTTCCTCATATCAAACCTGAACCTGCTTTTCTGCAATGTCCACTTATCCTTCTTCCCTCTCTAGCCAAGGAGAATAAATTAATCTTTCTCTGACATGACAACCCTTCACATGCTTGAAGACACTGATCATGGTTCCTCCTAAGTCTTACCTTCCTCAGGCTAAATGTTCCTACTTACTTTACCAAGTCCTGATATAGTATGGCCTGGAGGGTTGTCCCCACCCTGGTCACCCTCCAAGAGATACTTTCCAGCTTACAAATATCTCTGAAATGTGGCTTACAGAACTGAACCCAATACTGGTCTGACCAGAGCAGAGTATAGTAGGACGATCATCTCCCTAGTACTAGATACTATGCCTCTCTCAAAATAGTCTAAGATTATAGTTTTTTTTGGCCTCAATGTCACGCTGTTTTGAACCTGGAGTCCCCTAAAATCCCAAAATTCTTTGTGTTTACAAGTCCAAACTTCACTGAACAAAGGAAAGAATGATTAATAAATTATGTAACACAATACTGTTATTGCAATGATACTGCTGCAATTCTTGGAGACCACCAAGTAACTGTGAAGATGAAACAGGAATATAATTCATCCTATTCATCTTCGCTGTTAGCAAAGACAGCTTCAAGATCCCTGCAGGCAAGTTCAAAGAAGTATTATATAACAGAGACAGCAGAAGGAAGTCAGTCATTGACAGGACAATCAAAAAGACCCTTTCTAAAGTGCTGTACTCTGAATAATCAATATTGGTGTAAAAATGCTTTTGTCAGTAACGTGAGACAGTGCATATCTACGAGTGAGCCTGGATGAGCCCTATCACCTCTGCTAAGAGGGAAGAGGTCAGAGTTCATATTTATATCCTTTCCACACTAGTAATATGGCTATGTACTCATGTCATGCAGTTGCTACCACTCTGGCTACTGTAGGAGAGATCTATCTGAGGAGAAACAATGACAAGCTGAATACAAATGATAGAGCGTAGCAGACTATTAGTATGATACCCATTCACAGAAAAATTTAATTTGGTTTTATTCAAAATTTATCTCTACATTTTTAAAGCCCTAAATGATTACTGCAGGAGGTCAACATAAATCTTCTGCTTGGAAAAAGCAATTGTCATGATTGCAAACTCATCAATTTCCCCCCTCCTCAAATTGTCTTTGAGCAATTTATCTGTATCTGTCCTTTGTTCTTATCACATTCTGCTTTGCACAACACTTATTTGTTAATGTATGCTCTATCCCACTATTAGACTGAAGGCCTGTAAGGGAGGGATTTTGTGTGTGTGTGTGTGTGTGTGTGTGTGTGTGTGTGTGTGTGTGTAAACTCTGAATCTACAGTACCAAGGACAGTGTCTTTAAAAGAAAAATAGTAGATGCTCAATAAATGCCAAATTGAATTTCTTAAGTTCCATTACACATTCGTTAATGAACTAGGTTCTTAAATATTCCTCCTAAGTGAGCCCAATTAAGGGCTTTATCATCAAAATGACTTATTTTCCTGGTCCTGTCTTTTCATGAAGGCATGTTACATATCTTATAGTTACACACCTGTGATAGGTCTCTCAAATCTAGAGCTGGAATGATCCTTCCAAGCAACCAGGACATAAATATCATAAACACTCGGGTAGCAAATCTGGGTTATATATTATATGCAACCTGTGAATATACTAGAGCAGAGGTGTCAAATACGGGGCCTACAACACTCCCAAGTGCAGCCCAACTAAAATAAAACGTAACTGGGAAATATTTAAGAAAATAAATGAAAATATAATAAAACATAGATAGTAATTACATTTTAAAAATATGGTCTGCAGGGATCCTTCTGTATGGTTTAGGACCCCTTTTCTATTTGAGTTTGATACCACTATGTTAGTCACTAATTCTTTTGGAGTTTGGTGACATGTCCCTGAATCCACCCTCAACAATTCTATAGACAAGGCAGGGAAAGGATAGAGCAGTAGGAGTTCTCACCTGGGGACAAAAGCTGGCAAATACAAGAGCCTGGGAAGAAAATGGAGCTGCCACCGTGCTACGATCTTGGCCATCTTTCCTGCCATTATTCAAATTTTCTCTGCCAAAGTGGTGGTGATGGCAGCTGGCTGTGGTTTTCTAAAACTGCCTTAACTTACAGTCTTCAGTCTTCTTTTCTAGCTCAGTCATAAGTCTTAATGTTGATGATCCAACATGTGTTATGGTTGAGGGGCAAGGACAGAATAGTGTTCCTTCTCTCTTCCTCTACTTTCAAGGCATATACATTAAGGGATATACCACATTTTACCTTCCGCTGACAATTTCTAAAAAATTTAAAGGTTTTAGGTGTTAACAGATTCTGCTTTAAACTTGTTTTGGGGAAAATAACAGTTCCATGAATTCACTGGCATAAGTACTTCCTGCACTGACAAAGATCATAACTCTTCACCTGCTCCTGTCCTATGGCATTCTTATCTTTGTTTCTACCATAAATCTTTCCAAAGGACACAACTCAAAGGGAAGCTTTCCCTTTCTCCTTAAGGAATCAATAAGCCACTAGAGCCATTTGTCATCTTTGTCAAATGAATGACCTACCTCTTTTTATGATCACAAATGGCTTTGCCATGGTTCTTCTCCCATCCCTCCTTGTTAACACTAGGAGAATGCTCACAATCACCATTTTTTCATTGATTTTTGTAATCTGTAGTTTTACTTCTCCTGAAATTGTTTTCTTTCATGTTCTGCAGGCATATGAAGTCACCAGTAGACTATTTGCATTACATTTAGTCTTTTTGAAGTGCCAAACAGTTGGGGAATCAACAAAAGTGATCCACAATTTCTCACATGCAGTCCAGCCTAATCTCTTCCCTTATTCAATTGGGAGGTTGAGCTAATTATCCATCAGCATACTTATATAGAATATATATGTTGAAGCCTAAGTAAAATTGCTCATTTAGCTGCATGTCATAATCTGGGCAATGTACACTTTTCCTATTTCAAGCATTTCTTTTCTCAGTGCAGATAGTTAAACTGAACTCCGATTTGCAGCTTTTTAGTAGATGAAATTAGTAATTAGTACAAATCAGTGAATGGGGCATTTGAAGAACTTCATAATAGATTATAAATTCTTCTTTTGTTTGGTTTCTACATAGGATATTCTCATATCCAAAATACGGAAGTATTATATTATTCTATGAAAAAAAAAAAGAAGATAGCTAACAAGATGCTATAACACTTATTTGCATATGACCCATGTGGAAGTCAAGAAATCTGTGTGTTGGGCAGTGGAGAAGGCACTGCCAAAGACTGGGAACTAAGCTTGTTCAATAGAATTTCATGAATTTCTTTAATTAGTCAGTCAATAAGCATTTATTAAGTACTCACTATGTGCCAGACACTATGCTAAGTGCTGGGATACAAAGAAAGGCAAGATCACAGTCCCTGCTCTCAAAGAGCTCACATTCTAATACAAAAGACAATATGTAAAAAATTGTCTACATGAGACATATACTATGTAACTGGAAAGCAATCTCAGAGGGAAGGCACTAGCCATAGGTGGGGAAGGACGGACTCAGAAAGGCCTCTTGCAGAAGGTGGGCTATGAGCAGACTGAAGGATGGTTAACGAAGTCAAGGGACTAAGGTGAGACAGGGCAGCTGAGGCACGAGGGATAGCCTGTGAAAAAGATGAAGTCAGGAGATGGAGTGTCACGTGCAAGGAACAGCAAAAAGAACAGTGTGTCTGGATCAGAATGCAAGTAAAAGGGAGCAAAGAGCAAGAAGACTAGAAAGTTAGGAAGATGCCAGGTTGTAAAGGGTTTTAAAAGCCCTTTAATGACTCTAAGTAATCAGAACTATCTTATCTAAAGACTTGTGATCTCATTATGACTCTTTTGAGGGACCCATCCTCTTTTTTTGGTCATCAGATGGCAAGTGCAGCAGGAGACAAAAGTAGTAAGGTAGTACTATACAGTGGAACATGGCAGACCATCTTGGTCCCCACATACAAAAAACTGCAACTGAACCAGCACTGTCCAGGGGCCACTGTGTAAACCTGAGGGACAGGATTTCATTTAAACAGTGTTCTTAGTAGAAAATTTTACTAATTGTGAGGGATGATTTGAAAAGAGATTAAAGACTAGAACATTATGATAAGGTAATTATGCTAAGTGTTGGATGAGGCAGGAAGAGGTTGTGTTTTCATGGCACAAAAGGCCATATTTTTACTTCTGCCAGGGACCCATATGGTTTCTCACCTCTCTGAAATATCTTGTGAACCATCAGTGACGCCTTGTTCTGCAGAAAGGGACTTTTCATCTGGCATTCCAACTTTTTCCAGGAAGCAAAGAGCTGGGTCTGCTCGCATAGCATTGTACCTTTCATAACCTGGATGAAGACAGCAGGGAGCATTAGAAACAACATCAAACCTCAAAGTCTACCTCCATTTTATACCACAAGACCTCAGTTTCTGTCCGTGAATAGAATGCCACAAATTTTAATCAGGTTTTTTAAAGGATCATAAAACTATAAACCATTATCACATTCTTTTAATTGCCAGGAAAATATTTCTAACTTGAAGTAGAAATTTTTGGTTAACACAGACAAAAAAAAAAAACTTCTTCAAATAAGAACATACATAAACCCACGTGTTTTTAGCTAACTGGAGCAATGGAGCTATCTCCCACCTGGCTGCACTATGAGGATTTCTCTAACTTTTACACCATGCCCTGGGAAGCTCACCAGTGGGAATTTCATCCCGCAGGACTGAATCAGCATTGGTACCTGCTCCTCACAACTACCCAATGCCCTTCTGATTGAAGGACAAAGCCACAAATTCTAAAACCTCCATTTCAGGAGGGGGCTTAGGAAAGATATCTTGCTTCCCACCTGGCTGCATGACTTTGGGGCTTCTCTGACTTCTCTACCATGTGTTCTATGTTGGGGTCTTCCTTCTTGTTTTTCAATTTCCTTTTGGAGTTTATCTTCCCCCATTAGACTGTAAACTCTTTGAAGGCAGGGACTGTTGTCTTTGCATTCTCAGTGCTCAGTATAGAGCCTGGCACACAGCAGGTGCTTAATAAATGTTTAATGACTGTTAAGATGACAGATAAATAGGAATCTAGCTTTGCAGCTCCCCATTTTGCATATTTTTTTCACCTTGTAGCTAAGTCTAGTTCTAATTTAGGCCTGTTCCCTTTATCATTGCTATTTTAACCCATGGGATCATATAGATTACAATGAAAAAGTCTGGCAATGTGATTAAAAAAGATTAAGAGCAAAAAGTTAATTATTGTACCTACTTATGTGATTAAAAGTGACCCAATGACTGAATTCACCAGTGCTAGAAGTAAATTTAATCAACTGGGTATCGACAAGAATCAGTCTATGCCAAGCTCTGAAAATAAACAATTTACAGATTCCTTCTAATCTAGAAACAGGTTATAAGACATGATGCCACACAACAGAAAATATCTTATTTCTAATTTTCCTAAAACATAAATCTGGTAATAGATGGTTTTTTATAAGCAGATTAAGAAGAGGTATGCCAGTGAGGTATTGTTGGACAGAAATCTCCAGGAGATATGACAGATTTCTAAAAGTACTTCCTCCCAAACTACTGCTAATACATGATCATAATTCCCAGTTATGAATGATGTGCAGTTGATTGTATGTGGAACCATTCCCAGTGTTGATAGAATGATTTTAATTTGTTGTTCCTTAGTTTCCTCATTAGCTTTGGCACCTCTGTTGGAAATATGCATTTGTTTTGATGATGATAACGATACATTTAGACACAATTTTCTCTTGGGGGCTCTTCTCTTAATCTAAAGACACCATCAGCATAACAAGTGTTGCTCACTCACAGTTAGTAACTTCTTAATACTGCCATCAAACTCTTTCATCAGCAGCATGTCACGACAGAAAGAACATCAGATTTGGTGTCAGAAGACACCAAATGGGCCTTAATTCCTCACCTGTAAAATGAGTAGGCTGGACTACATGGAAACTAAGGTCTCTCCCAGCTCCAAATCTATGACCTTCCCCCACAGTAATATAGCACTAGTGACAAGGAAGAATGAAAGATAAAAAAAAGTGTAGAAGGAAAAGTGAAAATAGCAAGAAAGTAGATCTGTAAGAATGACTGCCTTTCTCCTTTTATTTCTTTCTCACTGTCCTTTCCAAGGGAATGGATATTACTACTATAATCAATTCTCTACACCTCTGATTTTCATCTTCATGACCCAGGCCTCCCTAAGGGTGAGGGGGGAAGCTGGAGTAGTCACTTTACTCAAGCATGAGCAATCACAAGCATGACACAGATGAGAAATTCTGCTATGGTAACTTTTCTATTAACAAATGGAATGTCTGTGCACAGCCTGAAATATCTAATGCATTAGTCTTGATCAGCTTTGAAACAAACCTTAGTGTTCTGTATGAATTTAAGCAATAATTCAGCAGGTTCAACTGGTTTAGATTATCATATCCATGTAACATTCAGTGATGTTCTGTGTTTGTTAGTTAATATTGAAAACAATAGAAATAGAAAAGCTGATTCACAACCAAGGCAGGAAGCAGAATCTGAATGACACTTTAATTTCCAAATGTATTTATGCTCTAAATAATCAATTTCTATGAGTAAGACACTGGGACACTACCAGGGAAAGATAATCACTATAATTATCAGTCCTTTCTGAAGGAATCAAACTCATACATTATATTCTGGTCTACTTTTAAAATTTGCCCATCTTCAGAATACTGTGATATCTGACTGTACATCTTTAGAATTTCAAGCTTATCTAGTCTTTATGGCCTTACATTACAGTATCACTGGGTCCCTAAGACATCACATGCTTCCTCCTCTAAAATTAGGGTTAAATGACATCATTACTTCCAATAGCTTAGCATAAGGCTTTAAAAGTAGCTCTGGCATTGGTCTTTCCAAGAGTGAAAATCAAAATGCTTGAATTTTAAATTGTGTTTGAGGAAATTTCCAAGAAATTATTAATGCAAGCAGCATGTGGACAAGATTAATATCTCTGAGCATTCATTAACTGTTAGTGAAATGCTAGAGTGAACAATCTTTCAAAGGTGGTGTACATACCAAGTGTATTTATTCACTTGGGGGCTACCAGAGGGGGATTCACATCTTCAGTTACTATAGTTTGACGATTACACTTTAATTATCAATTAAACACCTCATCATGCATTACCTGAGGGTACAAATGGGACACCTGATGGGACTTTGGGAACAGGAAAAAGCCTACATATTTCACACCTCTCCTGTAACTCAAAAATTATCTTATGTGCTCTAGGTTATTATAAAAAGTTTCTAGAAACATTTGTTGCAGTAAATGGACTGTTAGCATGGAAATATTTGTGGACATATTTTAGCTCTAGTCATTATACCAACAGTACTAAGGATATCCAGAACTTAGTACAATGCCTGGCACATAGCAGGTATATTTATGGATTGACTGAAGTAGACTGGGAAAATAAGGATTATGTGGTTGATTTTGTACAACCCTACACAACTAAATTTTTCTTCCAAACTTTTCTAGCCTTTGAATCTCTAACCTACTGAAAATATTCTCACTATTACCATAACACGTGCATCCATTTGGGCTAATTTCCAAGATCTAGGAAGTGAAATTTTACTGAAAGTGAAAAACATAACTGGATAATGACCACATGGCCAAAAGTAACCACATGAAAAACTTCAAAAGTTAGTGACCGTGAATATTGTATCTCCTTACAACTGTCCAAGAGAAATTTATTTAATCCACTTAAAAGTCTCTCTGACAGTAGGGATTTCTAAAGCAAACTTTTCCCTGGGGTGATTATTTATTGGGAGAAAATTTTTAAATCTCCTGGGAATACACACCATGTTTGACCACTCCAATAAGAAGAGACTTATCGGCTTCCGAATCCCACCAATCCACTGGGATCTCCACGTAGTCAATATCAGGCAGCAAAACATCCAGCTCTCTGTGGAGGACACAGCATGGATATAAATTTTTCTGTATACAGACAAAAATCCACCATCCAACAATCCAATACCATATCCCAAGGTCTCAGTGGTATCATGCTTAAGAATAGAAGCAACAATATTAAAAAAGGACAGTCTTCTCTGGATAGCTCCTTTTTGTTTTCGATTCTCCCAGAATGTTGTTTTACGTTGTTAAATTTGTACATAATCAAATGCATGGGACTAAAATGAGAAGTTTAGTATTCAGTCTGCTCAAAGAAGGGAAATCACGAACACTCTTATTAATATAACAAGAACATCTGTACTAGTGTGGTCAGGAATTGGGGGAGGAATGATAAGGAAGGGAGTACTGGCTGATGAGGGGTCAAGAGATGTGACGTAATTATGGGTAGAGTACTCGAAACTCTGTCAAGCAAAATATCTTTTAATCTAGCTATGTGACTAAATTCAACATTAAAAAAAAGTTCTGCAAAACAGTTCTGTAACTCTCATTTAAATGACATGTTTTCAGCCTAATCTGGGGATTATACTTCTGTTTGGTTTTCACTATCACAAAGACTCACAGAATCATAGAGTTCAAAGTACTTTAGAGGCCCCCTAGTCTAGTCCAAACCCCCCAAAATGAATCCCCACTACAACATACTCAAATGTGATTTTAAAAATTCTGCCACAGCACAATGTACTTCTTGAATGATTTAAATTAATCTGAAAATTTTTAGTTACAATGGAAGCTTTACCCAAAAAGCCAGTATCTCTTCCTTATGTCTACTATATGAAATTATTCTAACTACAAATCACTCAAAATGGTAATGACTTCAACAGCCAACCTAAACTATAATCTTACTCTCAAAATTAACAAAGATGTTTGAAGGTGGTGGTTTTCATATTCTTTTCAATCCTTTCTTCCTTTACAGCTCCCATGATAACCCACACAGGGAAGTAGGACAGAAAAAAACTCAGTTCATTTTGCTGGTTGTTATCTGCAGCTACCTGAGCTTTGTTGATTCAGTCTCTTATCAGTGTTCCACATGCTAAAAGGCAAAGAGAAGATGGAGCCCAAGGAAAAAGTCCAAGAGACAGAAGTTGGCTCATCTTATGATGGAGCTGCCAACTCCACCAAAAATGACTATATTGTACTAATGCTCTGGTATCACTACCTTTACCTGTGGCCCTTTCTTTATTATCCTAAGAGTCTGCAAGATACTGCTAATAATAAGTTGTACTAAATCAAATGAGCTATAGAGTAGCAATAAGAATATCACTTAAAGGAGAGAGACAAAAGTCTAAGAATACTAATTATAATCATGAGGAATGTAACCAAAGGTAATATTCTGTGTAAAAGGTATAGGCCTTGAAGAAAACATACATGATTCTATGCTGATTTTGTACAGTTAAAGCTCTGGCCCAGCTACAGTGGTTATACCTGGCAGGGGTTCCTTCAAATGCTTTATCTGCTGCTTCTCCCAGTACTTCAGATTTCAGGTAGTATAGCATCCGGACTCGAAGCAGCACCCTAAGAAAGATGAACTGATTAATGCAAATAAACTAGAATACTTGGTTTGACTTTGTGCTCTTTGATACCATATGCCTTGGTATATTCTGTATTCCTTCCTGTTAATCTTGATAGAACATTATGTCATTAGTATATGAAAATGTTTTTTTTAAATATAAAGTAGTCTACAAATGTAAGTCATTTTGAATACCTCTGCCTTACAAAGGAGGAAGAATACCTGTTCAGTCACCCTATGAGACAAGAATAGAACAAAAGAAAGAAGAGGTTTCCCCAACTGCTACAAGATTGTTGTTGTTGGATTACAATACAGGTTTGAAGTGATCTCTTGCCCTCCTAAGTTCCAACAAATCATCTCCTTGGTCACAAATATCTACTAAATATGATTGACTTCCAAGTGGCTGGTTACAGATTGACTAGTCTGCTGAAGTAGTGGTATATTTGACACGTGGCATAAAGCAGTTATATGAATGTTTGCCAGGCAGGAATAAATCTAATTTTTGTAAGAACATAGGTCTGATGAGTGTTGCTGATGGATGGAGAAAAAGTTAAGTTTTTCTAGTCTTTGGACAAAGATTTAGCACCAGCAGAGACCTTAAATGTCTTCTAGTATAAACCCCTCATTTTACAGAAGAGGAAACTCAAGCCCAGGAAGGCTGAGTGAATTGCCAAGGGCCACATAGGTAGTATATGACAGAGCAAGCAATGTGAATCCAAGTTCCCTGATTCCACATTCAGCCTTGCCCACTGTATCATACTGCTTCTAAGGTCAGGCACAGGAACTATTGTTTCTTCCCTAAGGATCTGCAGATAAAGGAAGACAGTAATTGATAAACATTTTTACCAAATATGCCTAACACTGTGCTGGGGACAGAAAAGAAATACATGATTTGATATCTGAGATTATGGAACTTGAAATTTAAAATGGAGGAACAATACAAATTAATATGTCACAGATTTAAGAAAGAAAAGAGATGAGCGTGCTTTGGATCAGCTGGGAAAGGAGAAGTCCGTATTCTGATATGTGTACAATTTTGGACCCAAGGCTCAAAGAGTCTGAGCTCCTTAAGAGCTAGGACTGTGTCCTTCTTTACATCTGTGAATGTACTCTCTGCCCAGCACAGGGTACATAGGAGTACTTAAAAAACACTTGTTGACTGACTGAAAGGCCCTGCCTTAACTCAGCTCATTCTGTAATTTATTCTATGAGCTGTTTAACACTGGTCACAAATTAGGCGCCACACTAAATTCATTGTCTGTGGACTTTGTAGTGGCCAGAGGACCAGGTATCATTGTGAATGGAAATACTTAATATTCTACTCACTGTAAATCAAACAATTGGAATAACTTTAAGATGTGAGCTTTGGTGGAACTGTTATTTTCAAAAGGTACAAGAAATAAAAATCCTGTGGGGAACCAAGAAAGCAAGGCCACTCAGCAGTAGCAGCAGCTGCCAAGGAGGTCTACAGTAAGAACTGAAATTTTCTCTGGCCTATGCAAAAGACTTTAGAACAGTCTCCTGGGATTCTAGTGCAACTGGAACATCAGGATTTTCTGTAGAAACAAGATCATGGAAACCTGGGGTTAGAGAGTTGTTTCTACTTTAGCTGAAAGAAGGGACAAGACATTCATTGTAAAAATATCTGTGATGTATGTAAGAAGAGAGCGCAAATCAATGGTATTCGATGTTCTCTAAATGACAAACTGGCTGAAAAATGATAGGAGAACCCGAGCAGCCCTTCCCTGGACAGTGTTCTACCTGTATACCTGTCTTCCTGGAACAAGATGATCTTCAAGCTGCTCTCAATCAATCTTAGCTGATGTCTGAATACAGATAAAAAGCAAGAATCGAAGCCAAATATTTTGTTCTAAAAAATAATTTTAGAGTTGAAGTCTTTTCATGATGTAGGACCCTATCAGAAATTGCAGAGAACAGCTTTTCCACTATCCTCTGAAAAATGACCTTAATCAAGATACCCAATTAAACCTAAACTCGAGGTCCCTAAGCAACTGCCCCCTCCCCTCTGAACCATTCTCACCTCCCTTCCACAGTTCTCTCCAACACAACCTTTTCAGAGCCAGCCAAGCCAAGCCAAGGCTCGCACTGCTCCCACACAGATTCTGCTTTTTCAAGCTATCCTCTGTACTTTTTTTCACGCTATTTTTCTACTGTAGGAAGTACAGTGCCTCCCTCTCCACTCCATTTCTTCAAGGTCCAACTCAAGATTTAACTTTCTCCAAGATGCCAAATTTATGCTCAGCTTTCTTTATTCTGGGTTCCTATGCCCTCCTATTCAATTGATATCACATTATTCTGTATCTATTCCTATGCTGCTTTGTCATCAATTCTCTATTTGTAGATCTTAACCATTCAAGTAACTAGTAAGCTCCACAAGGTTGGGGGTTACATCTTTAATTCTTTTTCTTTTTGTATCTGCCATAGCACCGAGTATGAAACAATGAAAAATATATTCTTCATAAATGCTCTTTAAATGAATTAAAACGAAGTAGTGAAAAGATGCTTCCAAGGCCTTCTTCAAGAGTTGTAGAGGAAGATTGGAAGGCAAAGACTTGGATCCTCCTTAGTATAACAGCCTTGGAGTATCTGCAGCTCTTGCCCTCCAGAAGATGATTAGTTTGCCACCACAAGGAAGGGTTATGACAGGAACTAAACAATTTTTTGAGAACATTTCCAAGAACTTCAAAAGTACACAGTGCACAATATGGGACAGGAGTCCAGGAAGAGGTGGTGTGAAGAAAGTAGTATAATTAAAGCATTTTAACCCTTGAATTTCAAAGTAATGTACAGCACACATCTCCAACTTTCTTGATCTTCTTTACTGGAATAACGACCAGAACTGTATCTCTAACATTGGAGAGATGCTCTGAGGTAAAGGGAAGTAGATCAGATGCACTTACTTATTGCAATGTTGTTTAAGGTGTTTCTTGTAGCTGTCATCATGCAAGACAACTTCAGGGTTGCAGGTGGCCAACCAGTCTGCATTCTTTAACTCTGGAAGTAGCATCTGATTCTTTGTTTTCTTTCCCTTTCTCCCTCTGGGTACTGGGGCAGATAACCCTGTATGGGCACAAGAATGAATGAGGGTTCATAACTGGGTGATGGCATAAAGATTTTGCCTAGCAAACATAAGTATTATGTACATGGTGGCGATCAGACAACATATCTTTTGGCCTAACAGTCTTGGTCTATGATCTACCTGGGACTACAGATGAGCAAGAAACTGATTCCAAACTGGCAGAAACAAAATATAAAAATTTAAAGGACTAAACAATCAACACAATGGTTGGTGCTGATTAAATATGACACAATATCTATCTTCATATAGCTTCCAATCTAATTAAGGAGACAAAACATAGACAAAGCAATTGCAATGGAAATGAAGAGTTAAAGTGTGTGATAATGTCTGTTAAGTGCAAAAGTAGTTCAGATAAAGGTTTATGCTTTAGCAGTATGAAGGGCATCTATGGGGCTGGAGACCAGGCAGAGGTGGTACAAGGACAAAGGTATCATTTCAAATTTCTTGGTAGATGTAGGCTTTGAGAATAGGTAGAATTTGGCGGAGCCAAGATAGCGGAGGGAAAGCAATGACTTGCTTGAGCTCTCCCCCCAAACCCCTCCAAATACCTATAAAAAATGGCTCTAAACAAATTCTAAAGCAGCAGAACCCACAAAAAGACAGAGTGAAACAAATTTCCAGTCAAAGACAGCCTGGATGGTTGATCAGAAAGGTATATTGTGCCAGGCTAGGAGAGGAGCGCAGTTCGGCATGGGTACACAGGCCGAGGCCTCAGAGGACTGAATCTCGGACAGCTGTGGCGGTTTCCAAACTTCTCAACCCAGGAACACCAAAGACAACTTAGAAGGTCAGTAGGAAAAGTCTGCGACTGTGGTGAGAGAGGAGCTAAGTCTCAGCCGCAAGTCTCAAGCACGGCCTGGGGCCGTGGCTGTTTCCTGACCTTTCGGCCCACAGGCTGAGGGGGAATCAAGTGGCTGATCAGAGGGGGATTGCAGGGATCTCTTTGCCGGTGCAGGAATCTCTTGCTTTGCCTGTGCTTGGATCTGGGTCACAGTTCTGAGGGGTGGTCCTAGGGCGAGGAAGAATGCTGGTGTGGTGGAACTTGTTGTGAAGGTGGAGAGAAAACACCTTGCCCCTTATCATAACACCTTGGAAGAATTGAAAATTTTCAGATCCCTAGAAGTATCTCTGAAAACAGCTGTACAAACCCCCAAAGCTTGGGACAGTACATTCTCCACATTGGAAGCAGACTTTTACCTGAACAAAGAGTTTAAAACTCAAGTAATTGGTCGGGATCATGAGTAAGCAGCACAAAAAGAGTCAGACTATATTATTTTACTTTGGTGACAAAGAAGATCAAAACATACAACCAGAAAAAGACAATGAAGCCAAAGCTCCTACATCCAAAGCCTCCAAGAAAAATATAAATCAGTCCCAGGCCTTGGAAGAGCTCAAAAGGGATTTTGAGAAGCAAGTAAGAGAAGTAGAGGAAAAACTGAGAGTGATGCAAGAAAATCATGAAAAACAAGTCAACAGATTGCTAAAGGAGACCCCAAAAAATACTGAAGAAAATAACACCTTAAAATATAGCCTAACCCAAATGGCAAAAGAGGTCCAAAAAGCCAATGAGGAGAAAAATGCCCTAAAAAGCAAAACTGGCCAAACAGAAAAGGAAGTCCAAAAGATTACTGAAGAAAATACTTTCTTAAAAATCAGAATAGAGCAATTGGAAGCTAGTGACTTTATGAGAAATCAAGACAATGTAAAACAAATCCAAAAGAATGAAAAATTAGAAAACAATGTGAAATATCTCATTGGAAAAACAACTGACCTGGAAAATAGATCCAGGAGAGAGAATTTAAAAATTATTGGACTACCTGAAAGCCATGATCAAAAAAAGAGCCTAGACATCATCTTTCAAGAAATTATCAGGGAAAACTGCCCTGATATTTTAGAACCAGAGGACAAAATAGAAATTGAAAGAATCCACCAATCTCCTCCTGAAAGAGATCTCCAAAGGAAAACTCCTAGGAATATTGTAGCCAAATTCCAGAGTTCTCAGGTCAAGGAGAAAATATTACAAGCAGACAGGAGAAAATATTACAAGCAGACAGAAAGAAACAATTCAAGTATTGTGGAAACACAATCAGGATAACATAAGATTTAGCTGCTTCTACATTAACGGACTGCAGGGCATGGAATATAATATTCCAGAGGGCAAAGGAGATAGGATTACAACCAAGAATCACCTACCCAGCAAAACTGACTATAATCCTGCAGGGAAAAAATGGTCATTCAGTGAAATAGAGGACTTTCAAGTATTCTTGATGAAAAGACCAGAGCTCAATAGAAAATTTGATTTTCAAATACAAGACTCAAGTGGAACACGAAGAGGTAAACAGGAAAGAGAAAATCATAAGAGACTTATTAAGGTTGAACTGTTTACATTCCTGCATGGAAAGATGATATTTGTAAGTCATGAGACCTTTGTCAGTATTAAGGTAGTTGGAGGGGAAAAAAATTATATGTACATATATAGATAGATATATAGATAGAGGGCACAGAGTGAGTTGAAAATGAAGGGGTCATATCTGGAGAATAAAATTAAGGGGTGAGAGAGAATTATACTAGAAGGAGAAAGGGAGAGGTAGAACGGGGTAAATTATCTCACAAAAAAAAAACAGAAAAGAAAAGGCTCTTACAGTGGAGGGGAAACGGGGGAAGGTGAGAGGGAATGAGTGAATCTTATTCTTATAGGATTTGATTTAAGGAGGGAATAACATACACACTCAATTGGGTATGGAAATCTGTCTTACCCTAGAGGAAAATGGGAGGGGAAGGGGACAAGAGAGTAGGGGAATGATAGAGAGGAGGGCAGACTGGGAAAGGGGGTAATCAGAAGCAAATACTTCTGAGGAGGGACAGGGTCAAAAGAAAGAATAGAATAAATGGAGGTGGTGGGAGGGTGGGATAGGATTAAGGGAAATAGAGTTAGTTTTTCACAGCATGTCTACTATGGAAGTGTTTTGCATAACTGCACATATATAACCTATATTTAGTGGCTTGCCTTATCAATGAGGGTGTGTGGGGAGGGAGGAAGGGAGAAAATTTGGAACCCAAAGTTTTAAAAACACATGTTTAAAAAAAAGATGTTTTCACATGCAACTGGGAAATAAGAAATATAGGAAATGGGGTAAAGAAATCCATCCTGCCCTACAGGAAAATTGAAGGGAAAGGGAATAAGAGAAAAGGGTGAGAGATAGAAGGGAAGGCAGATTAGGGGGAGGAGTATTTAGATTGCATGCCATCTTGGGGTGGGGGGAGGGGCGAGATGGGGTGAAAATTTGGAACTCAAAATCTTGTGGAAGTAAATGTTGAAAACAAAAAAATAAAAATTACCATAAAAATAAAGAAAGAAAAATTAAAAAAAGAGAATAGGTAGAATTTGGTTACGTAGAAAGAAGGGGGGTGGGGTGGGAAGGGGGAGGAGGATGAGGAAAAGAAGAAGAGGGGAAAGAGAGCAGAGCAGAGATAAGAATGATTCAGATTAAGCAAATCCAAACTCAGAAACAAGAACCAAGTTAATCCTTCCAGCTTTATTGTGCAAGTCTTGGGAGACAGGTAAACTTCAGATGAAGGGTTAAATTAACTTATACAAAATTATACAGATGACAGTTGGCTAGTAAGTTCAAATTCCAGAGAAGCACCAACTAACAATGAGAAAGTCAAGACCTTGCATAACAATGTGGGTCACTTGAAAAGGTAGATCCTAAAAGACAGCCTGCAGGCCAAAAGAGTATGACCTTGACTGTTCTTACCGGAATGGTTCTGGAGAGCCTGGTTCTGTCCATCTTTTGTGGGTGTGATCAGATCCCATATGAAACTCTTAATCTTCTCATCTCCCTTGTAGTGTTTGACACAGTATACCAGGAGAGCCCGGCAGATCATCTCCATGTCCTTTTCATTAAGATGCCACTTGAATCTCCCATGAGTCAGGATATCCTTCCATCGTCCCCACCTGTGGGACAGAAATATCATAGGATATGAGCTATGAAAAACCAAGAATACCAGAGTCACAACATGATGGGAAAAGCCTCAAAAGACCATGAATGACCAAAAATACTTCTAGCTTCTTAATGGGTTATTTGGCTTCTTTTTGCTGGTCTTTACTCGGGCCTGAGGGGTCCCAACAATTGTGTGGTGCATAACTGTGATGTCCAACACACCAGACATTGAGTATTTCACATGAAACCATCAGAACCATAAGACAGGAGGGGCCGGCAATGAAACCAGGTTTAAATGAGTACAAAACCTTCCTAGTAGCTACCCTCTTTGCCTCCAGTCTCTCTAACATCCCCACAATGCCATTACAAAGTGTTATGAGTACAGAGAACCCAAGTGAATAAAGCAGAGTCAAGGTTAAACACCTAGAGCGTGTAGTATTCTTACATCAAGACATGAATGCCAAAGCTTTCTTTTTCCACCCTAGCCAAAGGGGCCATATGAATTTTTCTCATTGACTTTAGCATCTGTTACATGGGGTGCTTTATCCTTCTTGAGTGAAAAGCAGATAGAAATAAAAAAGAGAACCAAGCAGTAAGCTGGTTATGGAGGTGAGAATGAGAGCAGAAGATAAAATCCTGGTGAGTAAAACACTGAGTGAAGTTCACAGTAACCCAAGGGAACTCTAAGGTAAAACTTTGTTCTGCTTTAATGGTTCCCTGACAAGGAATGGAATATCAGTGAGACTTCAGAAAACACCCAAAGCCAGGGCTGACAGGACCTGTTAGATATCCCCAACAAACCCTGTGGGAGTAGAGTGACAGGGAGGAACAGGCAGGCATAACAGATACCCACCCGAAGATGAGCAGGTTCTTCTCTACCCGGAAGCATTCTGCCCGGAGGTAGCGCCGGGTTTTCTCGTTTAGCCGCCTCGATCGGGTGGGCCTTTCATCAGAGTCACTGTCTAACTCAGAAAATTCCATCAGCTCGTCCTCCTCAAAGGAGTTGTAGTGTTTGGTCTGCTTTCTCACACGGGGCCGGTCGATCACTAAGCTTTCCTAGGGACAGAGAGGGGGCTGTTGTGGGAGAAGCACCTCTTCTCTCTCTCGTTCTCTCTTTCTTTCTTTCTCATCCACACACACAGCAGTGATCCTTTGCCAGCCCTCTTTGCATCTAAAAGAGCCATTTTCAGGCACCAACCCTGGGCCCTGCCTGCCTCCCAAAGCATAAATCTTATCATAGCAGGAAGAGTAGGAGGAATTCTCTTAAATAAGTCTGCCACCCCATAACAAGAAGAGTGAATTTCTTTGTTTTTCTGGTTTTTGTTTTTGTTTTTTTCTGAATAAGTGTGCTCCCCAGTCCTTAGTGCTGTCCAGAGCTATCTGCTGTTGCTGCAACCAGTCTTACAGAGGTTCAGAAAGATAAAGTGCCCATGAGATCCAAAGTGGCAGTTTGATCTTGCCAAGAGAAACTATAGTGGTGACCCCAGTTGCTTAGCTTAGAACGCAGAGAGCAAGCTGAACTCTGGAGATGCTGTTAGTCGCCCTTCTGTCTATCTCACCCTGATTCATTATCCATTTTCCAATGACAATGCCTTAGATAGTGGAACTATAGAAAAGTCTTTCACAGAAATATCCTTTCTAGCTCTAGGATTTCACCTATTGATACAGCTTTAAAGGCCATTTTCCTCAAGGTCAGCCTGCTGGCTGACTTTACTGACTTTACTACCCCTACCGCCCACAGCTCAGGTCTTCCCTTTTGATTCCTGTAGTGTCTTCCATGCCTGCATCATGGGCTAAAACCAAACTTAAAGATGAGCAACAAAACTGTTTATTTCGTCTAAAAGTCTTGCTTCATGTCACTAAGGACATAATGGTTATTTTCCTCCCCTATATCAAAGAGAGAGGAACCTGATTATAAAACAATGGGTGAGTTTTAACAAGGAGGCAACAAACACACTACGGTAGAAAGAATGCTGGAATTGGAGCCAGAAGACCCTTACAAACTGTGTGACCCTTAGTTTCACCCTCAGCAAGATATGATTATACTTGCCCTGCATCATGGGATTGTTGTGAGGAAAGGGCTTTGTAAATCTCCAAGTAAATGTGAAGTCCTTTTATTTATTTTAAAGCCTTTAACATAGTTCTTGAAATCATCTGGTAAGCTCAGCTGTGGCTGTAGAGGGGGTATTGCGAAGTATAAGCAGGTGTGCCTCTGTGTACTATATTTATTTTAAGGTGAGCTGATAAAGTGAGGGACAGAGATTCATAAAAACTAACAAACAGAAAGACTTGGAGGAAAAGGGCTGAACTGCCTCCTGTGCCTTAACTCATTACTTGATGCACTATCCTAATTTTAACAGTGAGCTCTTTGTCATAGTAAGTATTAAAGCAGGGAGTAGATGATCCTCTCTTAGAGATGCTGTGAAGGGAGAAGGGCTGGACTAGCTGACCTCTAAGGTACTAAATCTAAGGGTCTATGGTGCTAAGTCTTCCACATCATTACCAGGATAGCAGTATTCACTAAATTATGGTCCATGGAACAAACATTCATTCCTGGTTCCCATTTAAAAAAGTGGAAGAATTTACTACATCATGAGAACTCTAAGTGACTGTATGAAGCAGGAATGAAGAGCAATCTGTGAGGCCATCCAGGACCAATCCAGGACAGGCAGCTACGGTTCATAAGCTCCTCCTGGGTCATTTGCTTTTTCCATGAACTCTGTTCTGAGCTCTGGAGCCCCCTGTCCTAATTCCCTAGTGCTGCATGTCCCCTAACCCATAGAAGGAATTTAGTTTGATAACAGTGATTGGGTCAGAAAGGGAAAAAATCCAGAAGTAATAAGCTAGAAGGTAGCAATAAAACTCTTCAATTAGAAAACTACTTGATAATAGATGCAGTTCATGTGAGCATTATAAAACTGCAAATCATAGAAATTATATTGAAAATATATCTTTGCTAACTATGCTATACACCTGGTATGTGGCTCTTGGGGAAACTTCTACCACAAGTCTAAGCTATAAAGAAAACCCCAGGCTTTTTCTATTTACCTATCCCTTCTAAAAGCAGACATTTTCAGAGCTGTGCTAGTCATTGGATGGTTGGTTGCTTCTAACCCCACATTATTCAAAGGCAGCAGAGCACAATGAAAAGCACATGGGCTCTGGGTTTCTGCCACTGACTGCCTCCCTGGAACCTCGGACAAGTCACTTAGCAGCTCTAGGTCTTTGCTTCCTCATATGCAAAATGAAGACATTGGACTAGATGACCTCCAAGATCACTTCAAACTCTAAAGCTTTAAGGCCATGACCAAAAAGAAGTGGTTTTTTGTTTCTTTTATTTCAAGGAATTCAGCTCTCTATCAGAAGAATGAACACTTAGAAATAGGAACTACATTTTAAGTAATCCACGTAATTCTTTTCACCTTTCAGGGACCCAAAAAGGGAGGAAAAAGTACAGGGAAAAGGTGGACAGCTGCGAATGCCCCTTTGGAATCTTGAGTAATATTTTCATTGTGTTTGTATCTAAGTAGGACACGTTGTGGAGGTAAAATGTAAATAACATTGAGCTGGGAAACAGAAAAGTTGGATTTTAAGACCTGATTCTTCCACTAACCCACTACATGATCTAGGGCGCTTCTCTGGGACTCAAATTCTTCATCCATAAACATAGACATGCATGGCACACTTCATTAGGGTGTATACACTTGGATTTTTTTTAAGGTTGACATTTATTGAATATTCAAATATAAAGGCCATTTTTATTCATTAAATAAACTAAGCTAAAACTTAACTTTAAAAAATTAATAACTAAACTGTATTAAAAATGAACTTTTTAAAAAAATGCAAACTTTATAAAATGAGACACAAAATACCAATTAAAAGTAAAGATATTAGAGCATGCCTGGAAAGGCAAGGGGGTGTGGATCACATGATCACTAATGCTCTCTTTTGGCACTAAAATTCAGATTTGAATTCCCCACAGTAACTTAAGTTCTGGGTATATTTTTGTTCCGATGTTTTGTCCTAACAAAACAAAAATACACAAACATAAACCAAAATATATTTGACCCTCTACCTTCTCATTCTTTGCATCGGTGTCCAATTCAGCTATTTTAGCCCATTTCTGCCAAAAGTTGGGATCATCTAAGGAAATGTCAGTCCTATTCCCTGAAGCCACAAAGCTAGCCTGTGAAGAAGATAACAGCAAATCAATAAACTGCAGTCAAAGAGTATGAACTAGTAACACACTTGAGTTATTTCACACACATTCAAAACCAAAACTTTCAACAGAATGCCACAGATAAAGGTATATGATGCTCAAGTCTATTCATTTATTAAAAGCCAGCGTAAAAAGCTTCATTTTGATCCACAGATTCGCTGAATAGTAACTCAAATCTGAACATTCCAACTCAACCTAGTTCTCTTCAAATAAGAAAAAAAAAACATTTTTGCCGCTGTTTTTCAGTCATGCCCTACTCTTCATGACCCATCTAGGGTTTTCTTAGCAAAGACACTGGGGTGGTTTGCTATTTCCTTCTCTAGCTCATTTTAAATCAAAGAATTGAAGCAAAAAGGTTAAGTAACTTGCCCAGAGTCATAAGTGTCTGAGACCAGATTTGAACTCAGTAAGTTGTCTTCCTGACATCAGGCCCAGCATTCTATCCATTGAGCCATCTAGCTACCCCCCATATCTAGAGGCAGCAACCTTGCAAGGGTTAACTCTAGAGAAGGACTACTTGGCTTTTATTTTCACTGAAAGCATTATTATCATTCTCTTTATAAAATTAAAGCATAAGGTATCCTGATGAAAAATAAATCAAATACTGCAAGAGAAAAGGGCTCTTTCCTCTGGGCTATAGAAAAATGGGGATCTAGGCAGCCACACAATGCTGAGAAATCATTTTGCTATGGTATAAAGAGCACTGAGCTACAAGTCTGAAAACCTGGGTTCAAATCTGGTCTCTGCCACTTACCAGGTAAGTGAGCAAGTCAGTTAACATTGCAAAGTCTAATTCCTTATTTGTGAAATGGGGAACATAATACCTACCTCACAGGGGATGTTGTGATATTAAGACAATGTATGTAAAGAGCTTTATAAATATATGTTATCATCATGTTATTACTGTCAATATCTCGGGTGAAATACCTATTCCCGTGGAACTAAAAACACATAAACACACACAATATAAACCTTCATTATTTTTTAGAACTAAACTGTCCATAAGAATTTCTATTCTTAGACATTAATCAAGGAATATTCATTCATATAATATTTCAAGATTCAAATGTACCCCGACTGGAATATATCTATGGCCCACATCACCAAGATACTTGTTATTCTGAACACTAAACTTCAGTTTGAAATGGTCTTCTGTCTTGTCTGGGATACTACATTTTGCTACCACATACAGACCTGAATTTTTGAAATGAGCAGCAGTTGAAATGAGTGTGTATAACCACACACTCTCATATGGACTCCAATACATTTTTGTGTGTATTTACAATTAAGAGAATCAGAATCTTGGGTGGTAAAAGCCGAAGGAAAAAACTGCCTGAGCCAGAAAAGACTGATGGCAAGTGGGCAGGAGAGGAATTAAGTGATTAGCAAAAAAGCTCTGTACCTTGGCAAAGGTAGATCCCTTTCCTTCAGACTGGATGGTGATGGTGTGGGTTCTTCTTTGTAGGATCTGATCTATATCTTCTTCACAAAATTTGGAACCTTCATCTTCTTCATCCATTAAGGCTCCATAAGCTCCTTTCCGAAGCAAGTCCTCCACCTCCATCTTTGTGAGCTGCTGTACCTAAACCACCCCCCCCCAAAAAAAGAAAAAGAAAAGGCATTTGCCAAAGTGAAAAGAAAAAACACTGTTTTTAAGGAATTAAAATTTTAAGGAATTTAAGAAATTAATTTACACTGAAGTTGACAATTCTTTCTACTACAGACTTGTGATATAACGCAAGTTCTGAGCATGACACAATGCCGCAGGATTTAGCGGATCAGGGCTGTTGCCAAATATCACAAAAATTAATAAAATAAAATTCATATACATATTCCTGAAAAGGGCAGAATTGCCATTTTGATTTCTCCAGTTATCCTTAAAAAATGTCCTGATGGGAAAAACTTACATGAATTAATACAAAGTAAGCTGAGCAGAACCTGGAGAATATTGTACACAGTAATGCAATACTGTATAACGATCAACTATGAATGACTTAGCTATTCTCAGCAATACAATGATCCAAGACAATTCTGAAGAACTCATGATGAAAAATGTTAATCACCTCCAGCAAAAGAACTGATGTAGTGTGAATGTAGATCGAAACATATTCTTTTTTACTTTATATTTAATTTTTTTTTTGTCTGAGTTTTCTTTCATAACATGAATAAAATGGAAATGTGTTTTGCACAACTGTACATTTAGAGTCTATATCAAATCACTTGCCTTCTCAATGATGAGGTAAAAGGAAGAATTTAAAACTCAAAATTCTTAAAAAACAAAGGTTGAAAATCTTTACAGGGGCAGGTAGGTGGTGCAATGGATAGAATACCGGCCCTAGAGTCAGGAGGACCTGAGTTCAAATCTGCCCTCAGGCATATAACATGTACTAGCTGTGTGACCCACTGCCTAACCCCCCACCCCAAAAAAAACCTTTACATATTATTGAAAAAAAATTTTTTTTTAAATGTCCAGATGTGCCATATGAGCTAGCAAAGGGTGATTTATACAAGTACATTGGGACCACAGATTCAGAGCTGGGAAGGGACCTGAAAGTTCACTGAGTCAAACCTCCTCATCTGTAAGATGGGGAAACTATGGACTAAAAAGGCTAAATATTGGAAGTAACATCAGTTTTTGTATTAAAAAGGCTCTCCTTTCTTAACTTATTCTCACTGTTGAAGCACTTTTGTTTATGCCCCTCTTGTGCTCTTCCTATATTCTACTTTATAACATAATATTTATGCATGTATTTTATCTATGCTCCTGGAGTTTTAGTTCTGCAGGAGAACATAGCGTGTTTGTTGTTGTTTTTTAAATCTTCTGTCTTCCTGACTGGCGAGCAGTTAGTAAGTGTCTGATTAATGAATGCTGAATACTGCTGAGGTATGATAACTTCAACAAGTTGTTACAAATAAGAAATAAAGAAAGAAAACCCTATTTCCTGGTAAGAATGTGGGCTTTCTTTGTGCCAATTATCACACACTAAAACTATTACATTTCCTATCCTGCACTGATGATTTGATGTACTCATTACTCATTAGAGTAACAAGACACAGCAACATTTGAAAATTTTAACTTAAAATAGCACGGTGTCCTGTTTCAAAGACATTTTAGTTGTCTGTATTTTACAACATGCACAAGTTAAACTCCAGGGAACAAGGTTCCTACCTCAAGTCATTCAGGTTTTTTCCTTCTTCATATTATTTTATTATATTGGGAAATCAGTTGTGAGCATTGACCAACTATTTAAGCTGTTCTTTCTTTTCCTAATTTAATATTTTATTTTTTTCCAATTACATGTAAAGACATTTTTTAACATTCATTTTTTTAAAATTCTGAGTTCCAAATTCTCTCCCTTCCTCCTTCCTTTCCCCACTCATAGAGAAGGCAAGCAATTTGATACAGGTTATACATGTGGAGTCATGCAAAACTTATTTCCATATTAATCATGTTGTGAAAGAAAACGTAACACCCCCCACCAAAAAAAAGAACAAGAAAAATAAAGCAAAAAAAAGTATCCTTTGATCTGCATTCAGACCCCATTGGTTCTTTCTCTGGAGATGGACAGCATTTTGCATCATTAGTCCTTTGGAATTATCTTGGATCACTGTACTGCTGAGAATAACTAGGTCATGTTACTGTTACTACGTACAATGTTCTCATGGTTCTGCTCATTTCATTTTGCATCATTTCATGTAAGTTTTTTCAGGTTGTTCTGAGAGCATTCTCTCATCATTTCTTACAGTACAAGAATATTCCATCACAATCACATACTACAACCCATTCAGCCACTACCCAATTGAAGAGCAGACCCTCAATTTCCACCATTAAAAGAAATGCTAGAAATATGTGTATATATATGTTCTTTTCCTTTTTGTTTTTTTCTCTCTTGGGATATAGACCTAGTGGTGGTATTGCTGGGTCAAAGGAAAGGCACAATTTTATAGCTCTTCAGGTATAGTTCCAAATTCTTCTTCAGAATGGCTGGATTAGTTCACAACTACACCAACAATGCCTCAGTGTCTCAATTTTCCCAAATCCTTTCCAACATCTGTCATTTTTCTGTTTTGTCATATTAGCCAACCTGGTAAGTATGGGGTAGTACCTCAGAGTTGTTTTAATTTGCATTTCTCTAATCAATAGTGACAGAGCATTTTTTAATATGACTATAGATAGCTTTGATTACTTCATCTGAAAACTGTCTATTCATATCCTTATTTATCAATTGGGAAATGGCTCTTATTTTTATAAATGTGATTCATTTCTCTATATATTTGAGAAATGAGGGCTTTATCAGAGAAATTTGCTGTAAATTTTTTTTCACACTTATGATTACTGTGTATTCCCCTCTGACCTATTCTCTCTCTCTCCTTCCCCCTTCCCCCTCTCCCCTTTCACCCTGTCCATCCTCAAAAATGTTTTGCTTCTGACTATCACCTCCTCCAATCTGCTCTCCCTTCTATTAGCTGCCTCCTTCCTTCTCTTATCCCCTTCTCTTCCTACTTTCTTATAGGGTAATATAGATTTCTATACCCAACTCCCCATATTCCCTCCCACTGTAAAAGCTCTTTCATATATCTTTTATTGAGATACTTTATTCCACTCTACCTTGCCCTTTCTTCTTCTCCTATTTCATTCCTCTTTCTCATCCTTTAATTTTATTTTTTTAGATATCATATCATATTCAACTCTACCTGTGCCCTCTGTCTATATAGACTCCTTCTAACTGTCCTAATAATGAGAAAGTTCTTTGGGGTTACAAGTAGCATCTTCCCATGTAGGGACGTAAACAGTCTAACCTTATGGAATCCCTTATGATTCTCTTTTCCATGTAATTTCTTATGTTTCTCTTGAGATTTGTATTTGAAAGTCAAATTTTCTATTCAGCTCTGGTCTTTTCATCAGGAATGTTTGGAATTCTCTATTTCATTAAATATTCATCTTCTCCCCTGAAGGATTATACTCAGTTTTACTGGGCAGGTGATTCTTGATTGTAGTCCTTGCTACTTCGCCCTCCGGAATATCATATTTGAAGCCCTCTGATTTTTTAATGCAGAAGCTACTAAATCCTGCGCTATCCTGACTGTGGCTCTGTGATGTATGGATTTTTTCTGGCTGCTTGAAATACTCTGTCCTTGACCTGGGACCTCTGGAATTTGGTTATAATATTCCTGGGAGTTTTTATTTTGGAATCTATTTCAGGAGGTGATCGGTGGATTCTCTCCATTTCTAGAGTATCAGGGCAGTTTTACTTGATAATTTCTTGAAAGATGATGTCTAGGCTTTTTTTTGATGATGGCTTTCAGGTAGCCTAATAAGTCTTAAATTATCTCTCCTAGATCTATTTTCCAGGTCAGTTCAATAAGATATTTCACATTTTCTTCTGGGTTTTTTTTTCATTCTTTTGATTTTGATTGTTTCTTAATGTCTCATAAAGTCTAATGACCTTCCACTTGCCCGTTTCTAACTTTAAGGAATTATTTTCTTCGGTGAGCTTTTGTACTTCTTTTTCCATTTAGCCAATTCTGCTATTAAAGGGGTACTTTTCTTCAGTGAATTTTTGTAACTCTTTTTCCATTTGGTCAATTCTGTTTTTTACGGAGTATTCCTTGGTGAATTTTTTATATAATTTTTTTCATTTGACCAATTCTGCTTTTCGTGTTATTTTCTTCAGTATTTTTTAATGCCTCTTTTACCAAGCTTTTGATTCTTTTTATTTTTTTCATGATTTTCTTGCATCATTGTCATTTCTTGATTTTCAAATCCTTTTTGAGCTCTTCTAGGAATTCCTTCTCGGCATGACAGCAATTCACATTTTTCTTTGAGGCTTTGGATATGGCAGTTTTGACTTTGTTGTCTTCTTTTGAGTTTGTGTTTTGATCTTCTTTTTCACCATAGTAACATTCTATGATCAGGGTTTTTTTTTTTGGTGGTTGTTGTTTCCTCATTTTCCCAGAATATTTCTTGACTTTTTACTCTATGTTAAAGTGGGTCTCCGCTCCTGGGGTAGAGAGGGCACTGTCCCAAGCTTCAGGCCTTTCTTACTCTCAGGTTAAATGACTTGTCCAGGGTCACAGAGCTAGTAAGTGTTTAAGGCCAGATCTGAACTCAGGTCTTCCTGATTCCAGGCTCAGCTCTCCATCTACTGTACCACCTAGCTGCCTCACAAAAAAGGTTAAGAACCCCTGATCTAAATAAAGCTTAATAGTTAACCAGGCAATGACTATAACCTACTTTGAAATACAGGGGTAGACTACATAGAACTAACAATGCTTTAAATGAGGCAAGTGAATACTTGCCTGGAACCAAGGAGTTAGGCTTGCTAGGATCCTGACAACAGGCAAGAAAAGCCCACATTACTCCATAACACTCAGTGCAGCTGCAGGAATGACATTCAGAAAACACAGGTGGTTATACTCACCCCATTTGTGCTTCCCTTTCGATTAATGTCCTGCAGGATAGCTTTGTCCAGCCCCAACTTCAGACTGGCTTTGTCAAACATTTCTCGTTCATAGGAATTTCGAGTGATGAGACGGTAGACCTTCACAGCCTTGCTTTGACCTATTCGGTGACAGCGAGCTTGAGCCTAGTGGAATTAAGAAGGTCAAAGAACACATTAATTCCCTTATCTGATTAACTTCGAAATTTTGTAGCTTTTACCACCACACTGCTTATAACTAGCCCATTTTTTTCTACTCACATGACCATACTTCCTGGTTCTGGCCCTCATCACGTGTCCCCGAGACTATTGTTTCCTAACTGTTTTTTCTACATTATCTCTCCCTTTTCCAATCCATCCTCCTCCACACACCTGCCAATGTTATTCCTAAAGTCCAAGCACAATCCATGTTGATCATCAGCCCAAGAATCTCAAGCAGTGGGTCCTTTATGGCTCTAGAACAAAATACAAACTCCTCTTTGACATTTTAAGCCCTTCATGGCCTAGGGAAAATCTAATTTTTTAAACTTATTACACACTACTTCTATTCAAGTACTCTTAAGATCCAGACAAATGAGGCCTTGCTCTTCCTTGATCATTATAGCTTAAATTCCCCACCTCCTGTCTCTGTCTTAGCAGACTGTTTCCCATGCCTGAAATATAGTTTCCTTCAAAGCTTAGCTGAGGTTTTCCCTAACCTCCCTAGCCTCAGCCAACTCCCTATTACCTTGGTATATTTTGCATTTATTATATGTGTGTATTTTTTTCCTCTGATAGACTGCAACTTCCTTGAAGAGAGAGATGGTTCCATTTTTTTGCATTCTAACCCCATAACCTAACATGCAGTAGGTGCTTAATAAATGCTTATTGATTTAACAGACAGAAGCTGTATTTCCCACTATAAGGAACTATTTAATATAGAAGAATATGCCTGATTTTTTTAAAAAATCAATGTAGGCAGCTAAATTAAAGCTAAACTCTCTCAAGTAGTCACTCTGGAAAGCCATATGCTTATTCTAATAGTGCTGCTATTGCTCAAAATATTTTTGGGAATTCCTTTGTTGGCAATGCTTTCAGGGACTGAGGCACATTCTTTGGAATTTGCTAAGTGGTAACATCATCTGAAAATAATTAGATTTTTTGAAATAATCTAAAGTCATTCAGAGACAGATCTGGTATAAAAAAAGGCAAGTGATAAAATTGAGTAACATAACTTTATTCAAAATTAAGACATGTTTGCAAAGCAATGAGACCAATTTTCTTGTGTTACTTACAAATTGGCCCTATACACAACTTATAAATATGAACTCGAGAAACATTCTGAATAAAAACTGTTGAATACAGGTGAGGATAATCTTTATCTGAATGACTCAATGTTGGTATATTTGTTGTTTCAGGAATAGCCCAAATTACAAATGTCTCTAAAACATTATAGAAGGCTTCTACAGAGTCTATGTTTTCTAAATCTGAAAATCTGAAAATGAGATAAGAATGCAATACTGATTCAAGATCAGGAAAGCAAAAGAAATTAGTCCATGCATAATTTCTTTGGGTCATAGTTCCTCATTAACAACAGAACTGAACTATGGAAGTGTTGGAATTTGTGTTGATAAAAGAGTAGCCACATCAATGAAATTATGGATTTCTTAAAAAAAATAGCCAATTTGAATTAATGTTGCAATTCAAAGTAGAAAGCAATGAATCCTTTTTAGTTGGAAGGCTTAATGTTTCCATCTTAAGTTTTCCTACCTGACAGAAACTACTGACCTAGATATCTAGTGCTCACTACACTATTGGGCAGAAGCACCCTTTTACAGCATGAACTTGGGCCTACTACCTTTAGTTTATGGATTTTAGGGGTGACCAAGAGAAATATTTATCAACGTTACAGTTACCTGCAAATCATTTTGTGGGTTCCAATCTGAATCAAAAATGATGCAGGTGTCAGCAGCAGTGAGATTGATACCAAGGCCTCCTGCTCGGGTGCACAGGAGAAAGACAAAGCGATCTGAGTCTGGCTTACAGAAACGATCGATAGCAGCTTGGCGCAGGTTTCCTCGTACTCGGCCATCAATTCGTTCATATGTGTACCTGGAGGAACCCAAGAAGAATTAAGAGTTTAAGCAGCAAATAAGCACATTTTAAAGGGAGAATAGTTAAAAACACAGGAACCTATTTATTGGGCTAATACTTTAAATGTTATCCTTCTATATACACACGACAACCCAATGGCCAAAAAGGAATCTTTTTTGCAAAATCTAAAAGTTATTACCCACTATTACACTGGGTAACAATATCTTCCTCTGAAACATCAGTTACTAACTAACATTAGTAACAAAATTTGAAAGAGGGAAAGTTAAAAAGAACCGGAATAATACTTATCTCCTTTATAAAGGCCGAACAACAAAGTCAACCCCAAATATATTCCGTGGCTTAATTTTATATAATCCTCAGTATAATTTTTCTTTTAAGGGAAAGTCAGATGTGACTCAAATCTGATCATAAGACTCAGGCAAAAGTCTTAGGAAACTACTTATAATATTAAGCAAAAAACCTCAGGGTCAATGAAATTTAAATAATTAAACAAAACCCTGCCACCTTTTATAGTAGGTTGAAAATGATAATCACTTCCCACCAAGACCTTACTCAAGGATCTACTCAGACGCCTCACTGTGTGACTTAGGTTGAGTTGGTCATTGTTACGTTGGCCCTGGTTACCCTAGAATACTTTATGATTTAGGAAGAAAGTATATACTAAAATCCCTGAATCTCCAAATGATGATAAATTCTTTGAGTAAAAGCAAAATTTTGAAGACATATGGGTAAATGATCTTCTAAGGCTGTGTGGGTAGGTAGAAAAATGACAGGTGAATACCAATGTGAAAAAAGGGTGGGCTGGGGTGGAATACTGCAGTTAGCAAAATAATCCAAATCATATTTTGAAGATTAATGAGCGTGCTTATCAAATAGGAAAGGAAACACTGTAAACTTAACAAACTAAAGTCTAGAAGTGAGTACCAGGAAAACATCAGTTATAACATGAAAAGATCAATAGTGGAGGTAATTTTCAATAATTCTTTGGAAAAAATATCAGTGAAGACAGGATTAACACAGATGGCCTTCAAGATGTTTATCAACGACCAGAATATGGATAACAGAAACAAAGTAAATATATAATTTTAACACAAAATGATGAAAAAGAAAGGAATCTGTAAATGGTATTGGAAGAGTTTATATACCTTGTTCCAAATAAATACATGTAACAGAACATGTGCAAAAACAGTACTACATGTCAGTAAATTATGCCTGTATGAAAATCTATGAACTAGAGGTAAAAGCACAATGAAGGGCAATTAGAAGAAGAAAATCATAAAAGACAAAAGTACTACTGCTAAAGGAACATATTTTAAACTTAGTCACATAAAGTGGTGATAAAGAACATCTCAACTATGCAGTCATTTGCCAGATGTTCCTTTCTGTTAAAAACATAATAAATTCTTGATTTGGTAGATTACTAGATGGCTAATTAATTTACGAATGTTAACATAAGGGATGTTGATAGTGCTGTGTTTGAGGGCTCCCTGCTTTGCCTTGCTCGATAAAGTCACACAGATAAAGCCACATTTCAGATTTTGATGATGACACATGAGGCTATATATATTTATATATAGGGACAGCATATTCTCTCTCAAGGGTTCCCAACCTTTTTTGATTCTTCCATCTTATCGGTAAATCTTCCCTAGGTTAGGGAGTAATATTTCCTATTCAATATGCAAGGAAATAAATTCTAGAGTTTACTATGCATGTACATGTAAGAAACAAAAAAAAAAGATTAGTTTTTTTTTTAAACTTTTATTCAACATATAACAACGTGGTTTGGTATCAAAAAGTTGTTAAATGCTTACTGAATAAATCAAATAAATTAGTAAGACCCTTGATTCTATTTCTTGTCAACCAACAGTTTTATTCTTGGTATAGTTTTTGAAAGTGATTCCTACATATCATGTTCAGCTTCTAGTTTGTTTCTTACTTTGAACTTGATTAAAAATAGGACTGAGAATGCTGATTCACAAAGATAATTTGTTATAAAGGGAATTAAAGTTTTATAAGCATGCTTAGTAAGAATGGGTTACTTTGCCAAGGGAACATCAAAAATTATGTTAACTTGATTGATGGAAAATTCTTTAGAATTTTGGCTATTAACAAGTTCAATTAGTTTCTGGTTTTGTTTTGTTTTTTCTATACCAGCCTGACTTTTTTTTTCCCAGCTCAATATGTAAGGGGTTTTGTATTAAAACCTCATTCATCTTGTTTGACTGAGTGCAATTATTTCTTCAACTATCTTTTTCAGAGGCAATAAAATGCTTTCTATTTTCCCACCTCATCCCAACTTTTTGCCCTCCAATCCACAACTTTTTTCCACTAACTGCTACCTACTTTTGGAATATTTAAATAGAATAATATAGTTATCTACCAAATATTCTCCATGCCCCCATGACAAGCTTCTTGTATTCTCCTTTGGAATATACATACTCTGGTGAGGTTGGTAACCCCTATGGTATTTGAAAGAAATTAGAATTCAAAAATGATCAGCTCCAACTGGAAAGATAGGTTGAAACCAAATAAAGTTAATACAAATCCCAAGTTTCATTAGAAAAGGAAAGTAAAAGTTTCAATGTACTCTGCAATGGGCAGGCCACATATGGCCATTCATTACTAGGAATCATATTTTAAAAGCAATGATGACAAATTTGTAGTTTATCCAGAAAAGGAAAAACTAGATATCAAGGGGTCTAGAAATTGTCATAGGAGGAAGTGTTGAAGGAAATGGAGATGTTTACCCTGAAAAAGAGAATACGCAGGGTGAAGATAATCACTATCTTTAAACACAGTAGGCATGCTTTGAGGATGAAGGAGTATCCTTATTCCATGTGACTCCAAGAAGCCAAACTAGGATGAATGGGTAGAATAAAGGTTGATTTGGGTTCAAAAACTAACAATTATACCTGACCCAAAATAGAACAGGCTGTCCTGTAAAATAAGGTTGTTATACAACTACAGATAGAAATTTTTTTTCATCTAGGGCAAAAACAGTTGAGTGGGAAGAGACAGGGTATTTCATGGGATCAGATAACAGAAGAGGGATTGAGAGCTGGGGGAAGAAACAGGTTGGGAAGAGGGGTGCCAGAGTGACAGAATTCTGGCTGCAAGGCTGTGTCATATAGAAGCACCATTGTGGACAGTGGTTGCCACAAGAAAGAAGAACACAACCCTAACTATGCACCTGCCCCTTCACCCCCATGTTGGGGCCTTGAGGCAAGGCTCCGCTTGCCATCTGCTAGTTCTGACTTAACATTCTATCGATGAAATACTCAAAACCAGGCACTATGTGATCAAGGATTTTATAAGGAATTCTTGCACTGAGTGAGCAATTAGAATAAACGACCATTCAGGGCCCTTCTAATTACCTATTTTGTGCTTTTATAATTCTATGTTCTCCTAAGATACATGTTTAATTTATTACTCTGGCCCAAAAGACCAACACAAAATTGAACATTCTTAGCAAAGAAATCAGCATCAAAACAGAAATCATTATTCCCTTCTTGTACTTCTGGTATAAGGTCAAAACGCATCCATACCAGAATTCTGTGTGTAGTTCTGACTGCTACATCTTAAGAAAGCTAAAGGAGAGTTGGAAAAAGCACAGGGAGAGGTAGCTAAAATTATCAAGTGACTAATGGGTAGCTCAGCTTCCACATGAGGCCAGAATAAAAGGATTAAAACTCTTTAGACTGGAAGAACAAAGGTGGAAAGAGGATATGACTGTAAACTGACTATAAAATTACAAAATGGTGTGGTGTAGGATAAGCAAGGAGTTGTCACCAAATCCCAACATGTTAAAAACTAAAGGATACCCACTAAAATAAAAAAAAAATACAATATGTAGAGCAAATATATGTCACAACATGGATACTAAACTTATTAAAATCATTATGCTAAGAGACAGGCAAAGTAGAAAACATTACCTTAAAAAAAAGGTTTAGAGATATCAGGTAATAACATATTTATATGAAGAATACCTTCCTAATGTTTCAATACTGAAGTCCTACAACACAACCACAGCCTTCCGTAAGTCCCTTGGTGCACTGTTAAGAGAGATTTCTACGATGGATATTACCATGGATATAATGTTAACTTTTACAGCCTTTGAGGATGATGAGAAGTCATCAACAGGCATGACATAGCCACTAAACTAGGAAAGAAAATCTTACTAATGTTAAAAAAGTCAAATCTACTAACTTGGTAACCTTATACACTTTAAACATTTCAAAAGAATGGATAAAATAAGTCCTTGACATACTAGCTTCTTAAAGGCAGCAACTACTTTTGTATTTGAATCTTCAGCACCTAGGTCAGTGTCTGGACCAAGTAGGAACTTAATAAATTACTTGTGTGATTGGCAGATCCTTTGGTCATGCTCGCTTCAAGCTTGGTGCAAAATTAAATAGGAGTAAAGCTAAATGGATAACTGTAAGAGTGGAAAATCAACTCAAGAACAGGAAGAAATAAGCTTGAGGCCTAGTTCAGTATGAAAAAAACTCACAATTATTGTAACACTTCATTATCAATACTGTGCACGCTTTTTATTTTTTTAAAAAGCTGATACTGCCCATTGATTTGGTAATTCAGGGTTAATCATTTTTACATAATGAAGATCAACTGCTTCACTGAACGAAGTTTTATTTTTGTATAACGTGAGGAGCAGAAAGTGTATTGGACTTGGAATCAGAAGACCAATATTCAATTACCAGGGCCACCACCTTCGGAAAAATGGGTAGATTCTTTCAGCCTTAGTTTCTCCATTTGTAAAAAGGAGATAAAATCTCTTCTTCCCTGTTTATATCAGAGTTAACTATAAACATCAATGCAGATCATGTACGTAAAAGTGCCTCGTTTAAATGCTTAGCAAACTAATGTAGTATTAGCAACAGGAAACACTCAAGCCAGAAAGCCACTAAGGACAATAATATGAGAAAGCTTTTAGTCTGCCTTTAAACAAAAAGATAAATAAGATGTGGTAAATGTACTCAAGAAACTTTTACTCTATTAATACACACACACACACACACGTATGTACGTATACCTGATAATAGTTCTATGGATTAACCTATGTTTGTTCTACATCCATATCAGTTTATACAGATCTTCCCGGGTTTCTCTGAATTCATCCCTTTTCACTGCCCACAGAAGCAACCTTTATAGAGAAGGGCATGCCATCAAGGCAACACCAATACCAGTTGCTGATGAACTCTCACCAAGAGGGCAGGGTTGCTAGTCTAGCTGAAGCAGCAAGGTATCCTGAGGGAGAAACAGGAGTCAGTGTGTGCAAAGTAGGTCAAAGCACTACCACTGACTTGACCATCATCTCCCCTCAGACCTTTGTGGAGATAGCACAGGACCCAAGAGCCCCAGAAATAGCACTGCCCCTTAGATCATTGACTCTGTTTGCAGTTTGGTCAGAAGAGCAACTCTAGTGGAGACTTGACCTGGCAAATGCCTCTGCAGATGCTGCAACTCCTGTGTACTCAGCAGCTACAACTACTGAACAATGGGGAAAGAAAGTCCTCAACATTCAAGTCCTTGGTACTGTCAAATGGGTCAACATCAGAAATGCACACTTTTTTTTTTTTTAAAACCAATGAAAATGGTACAGGAGAAGATATATTACCACCTGACTTTATCCTTGTGCTTTAGGACCACTGGGACTTCCCAAATGTCTTAAAACCTGATCCTCTTATATGTGCGGATCTCTGTTAAGATATGAGCTCATTGAGACAATTTCTGCGTGTAACCACAGTGCCTAATACGATGCTTGGCACACAGTGAGTACTTAATAGATATTTTTCCATTCATTCTTGCATTCATTTATTTAATAGCTTTAAATCCTGTTAATTTCACGCCATGTCATGCACTTCTGTGATCAAATATACAAAAGAAAGGGAGTGAATGGTACCTGTAACATAGCTCTTTCAGCATACTACTCACCGTCTCTGGATGAGATAATCCTCTAGTATGTCAAGGCAACGCACCATCTGGGAGAAGATGAGCACTTTATGTCCCCCGGCAATGAGCTTGGGGAGCAGTTTATCAATTAGCACCAGTTTGCCTGCTGCCTGAATCATGGCCTGCAGCTGAAAGTCCAAAGAATCAGGACTATGTGTTTTACGGAAGTCCTCCAGAATTTTCTCCTCTGCCCCTAAAAAGGAACAGAACAAAACCATTCTTTGCACAAATTACCAGGATGAAAAAGATTATATGTTTCTTGGAAAAGAACAGCTCAAAAGCCAGAGGAGAAAAATAAAGCAACATGTGAAAAGTTAATTTCTAGCCATCAAGTCCCAAATCTCCTGGAGCTGGTCATCCAAGTAAAATGAGCAGATTCAACCTGGGCAGCAGCAGGGTTAGCCTTGCAGGCTAGCACCTTTCTCTACAAAAGGGCTCTTTATCAGTTACTAAGAGTTTTCTAGATGCCACAATCCTAACTTTTCCAGTGAGACTGAAAAATGCTTCACAGAAAGCTAACAAGAAATTCCATTATAACCATTTTTTGATATCAGAAAGTAAAAACCAATCAGAACTCAAACCAAGTATTGTTTTAACAAGTTCTCAGGACTTTTCTTTATGAAAATTCTCAATTGGTAAATCTTCACCAACTGTTAATATATCTGTACAAGTGCTTTTAACATCTTCATGATATTATCATCTCTTATTTCGCTTTTTTCAATAACCTTTATGATAGAACACTTCTTTGCTGTAAGAGGCAGGCAGCTTAGTGCAGTTTAAAAAAAAAAAAAGGCACTGAGACCTGGAGTCTGAAGACCTAGGTTCATATCAGGCTTCTGCCACCTAGTCCAAGGTCATATGGTCAGTCACAACTACTTGGAACCACAGTTTTCCTTATTTGTAAAATGAAGATAATAATACATGTACTACAAAGTTCATAGAGGTAAGAGGACAAATGAGATAATGGATGTGAAGCACTTTATAAACTATAAGACACAATATAAACTTAGTCTCATTGCTATAATAACAAAAATAACAACAGGGTTAAGTTGGAGAAGAGGGTAGCAAAGCCATACATTTTTCAAGCTTCTCCTGAGTTTGGTTTTCACAGTGTAGCTTCATTCTTTAGTTTGAAGTGTCATGAATTCCAAGAACATACACATCCATACTCAAAGTATGAGGACACATCCAAAACCAAATGAAAAAATGACTTCTGGATTATCCATACCTCTAGTTCCCTCACCCCCCCTTAACACAGACGATTGAGAGCCAACTGCTGCAGCTTTCTTATTCAAACTATCACTAATTGGATATTAGGTAATCTCTCTATCGAGATGAAATATGCCACAGATAGAATCAAACAGCCTTTTGCTATAATGCTATCTTTCCTAGAACTTCCTCAAATCTTCCTCACTATCTAGCTTTGCCCATTCATGCCAGAGTTCACTATGGCCCGGTTCAACTTCCCATACCTAATGACAGCTGTAACTAAAAACTGACTTGTGTACATGTACACACACCCACCTGTGAACACACTGTATACCATACTGGATCTCTGAAGCACCATCTCCAATGAAGTTAATTCTCCCTCTTTCAGCTACTCCAGTCCCATATTCTGTGGTTTTTAGGAAATGTAAAATCATGCATTGATCTTGCATACTTGAAAGCAAAGGCACAATGTCCTGACCAAAGCCAGCCATGGCAAAACAATGCTGGAGATAAACAACTTACACATACCACCACTCAGACCCCAGACCTACATATACACACCACTACTGCTTTTCCCCATTTCCACACCCAATCTGATTCAAAATCACCGTCCACTTTCTGGGTTTTTTCTGACCCCAAACTCTCCTAGCTTCATTGTGTTTCCTCTCTGCCAAGTGTCTACCCTCTTTCATTTTGTTCTCTACCAGTTTTTGATTCTTGGAGGTCAGTGCTGATAATCCATTCAGGTCTAGTTAAATAAAAGGAAAATGGGGTCTATCAAGTAGGGACAGAAACCATTTATTTCAAGGGAACAAGTCAGAAATACCCAAAATATTAAGAGAGCCAAAATGCCAAGTAATTGTCTCCACAAGCACAGATGCTCAGTCAAACGGCCTAAGAGGGCATACCAACAATGCAATCATCTGGCCTTGAAAGATTTGCTTAATTCAAACTTGTTGCTCTCAGGGGTCTGTGGCAAGACTTAACCCTACCTTGCTCCCCCCTGGCTCACCATTGATCAAATAGGGGTGATTGCAGCACTTTCTCAGCTCCATCATGGTGTTGATGAGATTGGGCATGTTATGCTGATTTGCCCCCTTGGTCAGGAAGGAAAAGTTCTTCTCTAAAATAGCTCGATAATACTTTTTCTGGATATTGGTCAACTCTACTTCAATGATTGTCTCTTGTTTGGGAGCTAGGTTCTTTTCCACATCATCTTTCAGCCGCCGCAGCATCATGGGCTTCAATATGGACTGCAACTTCTTCACCTGCCCAGGAAAATGAGACTAGTTTACCTCTTTGAACCAGGATAAGGTTGAGCATCAAGATTTTTCAAACGCTAATACATGTTTGCTAAACCGAATCAGTATAACAAACAAGTAAGTATTGAATATCAGTTATGGAAGGAACTAAGAGAGATGATGATCCCCTTGCATTCAGAGAATTTATAACCTGCAAAGGGAGACAGGAGACAGAATGATGAAAAGAAAGACACTGATGAGAGAGAGCTAGTGAAGATCATTCACAGAGCCTCAAGATGCAGAATGGTGTCTTTAGCCTGAGGTACTTCTCTCATTCTTGGCCAAAGTTCGTAGCTTATTGCAATACAACACAAAATACTGCACTAAAACTACCACCTACCACCAAAAAACACGCCAAAAGACAATGTCTGCTAGAAGATGACAAACAAAAATGGCTAACTTTTCCATAGAAAGAAAATGGTTTCATAGGGGATGGATTTGAGTTCTTTTTCCAGTATAATAGTAAGATATACATTCAGTCTCTACATCCTCTCATCCTTGTGATACAACAGAAGGTAGCTAGATGGGGTGGGTCAAGAATAAAGTGTGGCCATAAAAGAGAGTAAAGCTAAACTGGTCCACATAAGCTTATGGACTTGGCATCAGTTGCATGTATTCTAACCATCTGAACAAACTAAAGTCAAGTTAGAACTCCACAGTCTCTTTGCTTACTGAACAGAAAAAAGTACAAAAACAACTTTCATCATTATGTTTGCTGTGAATGAAAGACATAAACTAGCTTACAATCAATTCAACAAACACTGACTAAGTACCTATGATGTAAAAAGCATAGGGCTGGACACGAGGGGATAAAAAGAAGTCAAGACAGTACAGGATTTCAAGGATTTTCAAGCAAGAGGTTTTATTTCATGTTTCTCAAGCATGATTCCTGATGCCATGAAGTAAATGAACTATTTGATGGCATACTGAGTATTTCTAGAGTTTTGGTCATTGAAGGGTCTCAGGTACTCAGATTCTGAAAGGGTGTTAGAGCCCTTTTTCAGTGCCAATTTTAACGCCCAGAGTTAGGGCATGACCTCATCCTGAGTATGGGAACAACTAAAAGCAAGAAGTGGGAGAATGAGGAAAAACGAAAGCAAGTAGAAAGATTTTTACAACTCTCTACCTGTCCTGTGACCTAGCATAGACAGAGAATCTTAAAATAAGAACAGTTCTCAGAAATTATGTATCTGAAGTAGAGAAGATTTACAGACTCCAATACGAAGAAGAAGAGAAACCATTTCAGAAAACAATGTTAGAACATTTATACAAAGTAAACTGGAAGTGAGAGCTTACCACGTATACCTGAGTACATGATTTCTGTGGTTGTTATTTAGGTTTTCTAAATGTTAAAACAAGATAGCCAACTGTTAAAAGAATAATTGTAATGAGTAAGAAGTCCTCCTCTTGTTCATTCAGGAAAAGCTAAATGGCTTAGCAAGCAACAGGTCAAAAGGTCCAGGCATCTGGGAGGAAGGCAGTGGGGAAAAAAAAAAAGTACAAATTCATAGTTCCTTACCGTGGTAAGCTGGGGACTAGAGAAGACCTGCTTCTGAGTTACAGTAACTTAATCAGAAGTAGGTAACTCAGTCATATTATCTGGGAATACAAGGACATTGCAATTAAAAAGCCCAGCCCAGGCATCATTTTGCCAAAGTACCTAGAAGTGGAGGCACTTATTATAAATGGACAAAGATAGATCAATTATTCTCTGTAAACTATAACTGCCTATCAGTACAATCATTCATACTTTCAGAATTCCTCACTATCTGCAATACTTTTTAGCTGCATTCAAGAATATTGGCCTAAGCATGTTTCATTCTTGTTATTATAAGGACAGACAGAGGAATTAAGGGAGGGTTCTGTTCCCATCAAAGCAGCCAAAAGCAAGATCTTGAAGCCCTCAGGTGGTAGAGATGAAGACCAAGAAATTGCCATGGTGGCAATGGCTCTTATTTATAATTTGATTTATCAACTTTCAGGGGCATTTTAGTTATTGCTAATTAGCTTCCTCACTTTGAAAAGATAAAAATAATAATTCTACAGTAAGGCTATGTAAAAATTAGTTTCTCATTCTTTCCAGAGAGTTCTGCTGACTCCTCAAATGAAAGGCACTCTGCAAGGGCAAATACTGTGTTTTCTCATTTTCTCCAGGCTCTCACTTACCTGTTCCTCTGTCTTCAGATCTCCAAACTCCTCTAGAAAAGCAGTCTCTGAAGGAAACTGTGATGGTTCCAGGAAATTCAGTAAGCTGAAAAGTTCTTCCACAGAGTTCTGCAAGGGCGTCCCAGTCAGCAGCACTTTATGTTCCTATACAAATTAAAGCATGTGATGAAGAACAGTTCAGTATCAGTGCACTTATTTACGGTGACAATGTAATGCTGGGGTTGTCTACATTCTTTATAGGCTCTTCTATTATTCTTCTCTAAAAAAAGAAGGTGTGACTAATAATAATGGTAACTGAAATTTATCTGGGATATTTTAAAATAGTCAAAGTGCTTTCCAAACAAATGCCCAATGAGGTAGGAGATCAAGTACTATAACCTTCAATTCTCAGAAGAGGAATCAAGGGCTAAAGTGACTTGACCAAGGTCATAAGAATTGGGTGGTCTTCTGATTCTGAGTTCAGTTGTATTTCCACTACATACCATAATGTCTCTGCACAAACGGCAAATTTTCTGAGTGTAAAAAGCATAAAACCAAACTGGAGTTAAGAGTAGTATTCCTGGCTTGGTGCCTATCAAAAAAATTGAAGAAATCCCTTGTCACAGTTTCTCTCTTGCTTCAAAGCTCCTTGGACTAGACACTGTAAGTGATCACTGAATGTCCTCGGGTTTATGAGCTTGCAAACTCTCACCAAAGCCATGAGCTTCAATCCCTCCAGAAGTTTGCAGTTCCTGTTCTTTAGCCTGTGCGCCTCATCAATTATCACACAGCTCCAATGAATCTTCTTCAGCTCTGGGCAGTCAGCCAAAATCATCTCAAATGTTGTGATAACAACATGGAATTTGAAGATTCCAGAGAGGGGGTTGCCCTGAGAAGGTCATAAATAAAAAACAGTGATAGGATGCTATCAGTAGGTATTGTTGAACTTTGAGGCAAAGTAAATTCTTCTATGATTACTGGCAGGATCAATATTAACATTACTAATGAGACGTGATTAAAGGCCAAAACACACTGTTGTACATATGTCTACAAAGGAACCCAGTACAGACAAAGCACTGTACCCTTACCTTCTATAATAAATACTTCAAAGATTCATTATTTTGCTGCCACTCCTTCAGTATCTTGACAGATATCAGCAGTTCAATGAGTTGCTGAGGCCCTGAAACTTCTCACTTGGTAGAACCTGACAGATCTGTGCTCTAGTGGCATATCTATTGCTTACCTGGGTTGCCTACATATTCTGATAAGGCACTGTAACAGAACATTAATCGAGGTTTCACTAAACCACACAACACTAAGAGAAAGAGTGCCAGTGCGAGGAAGATGGGATCATGAGATCATGAGAACATGAGATCAACTGTATAAATTGCTACAATAAACCTATAGCTGACCCATGCTTACTCAATATTCCCACACAAAAATGTTATCAAAGTGTGTATCTAATGAATACTAAAGGAAATTTTAGTGACTCAGGGACCTATATCACATTTGAAGAACACATTTTATTTGCAGTGTTAAAAAGTAAAGATGGGAACTCCCCCGGGGCGAGGACTACAAGTTAGTAGGGACTCAGCCATCTAGTTATTCCCAACCCTTGGGGTCACTATTAAGAAACAGAGCTGACTTAATATAGCCTTGATTTTATACTCTTTCCACGTGTTGCTTCTACCTTCTTCTGGACCCCTTGGAAAAACATTAGACTTATTCTGGCTGAAGAGTATAACCTTAATAGACAACTCAAATTGTACAAGTCAGAGGCAGTCCAACTGCTAATACTCCAATGTATAATGACTTGCGCTGTATATCCTTCCATTAATTTAATTTTCATTTTATTTTATCACAAAAATCTGCGCCCAATGCATAATACTTCCTAAGTCTATTCAGTGGATGACTCCCACTGAAGGAAAGGAAAGAAAAGAGCTTTGTTTTTATATAACAAAACTAAGCTTCCTCTTGATTCTTAAAAAAGAATTCATTTCCAGTACCCTTTCTGATTTCAATGCCTGTCCAAGAAGGAATGTTTTGCTTGTAGCCTATACTGCATACGTGACAACTCAAATTTAAAAAATAACAATACTTTAAAAGTAGTTTCAAAAGCCAGCCTGAAAGTCAGGCTTCTTGGCTTTTGAAATATCATGGAGAATGGAAAGAATGCCCTAGGGCCTTGAATATCATTATGAACAATACAACATCAGAAAGATGAAAATAATACTCTCTAAAAGGCCAGTGCCTCAAGACAAAGAAAAACCAAACTTCAAGATGCTAGGTGGGAAAATATTTTAAGGAAAGTTTCTTTCAAAAAAAAAAAAAAGATTCTACTTTGCAGGTTATTACACTAAGCAGCTGCTATAACTTTACAATTTACGCCAATTTTACCTGGGCATCCCTGTAGAGCATCTCGTATTGCTGGATCATCTGCCTGCTAATCTGGCTGCCATGATACACAATGGCATTCATCTCTGTCCATGTCCGGAATTCTCGCTCCCAGTTAGTAATGGTAGATAGTGGAGCAATGATGAGGAAAGGACCATGTATTCCCATCAGGAATATTTCTGAGAGAAATGTGATGGACTGAATGGTTTTCCCTAGGCCCATCTCATCAGCCAAAATACAGTTTTTTCTGAAGGAAACAAAACATGTTTTATTACCAATACAAAGTTGAGAGGCTATAATGGACGAAGCTTCTGAAACAGAGAGAAGGGGAACCCCACTAATAATGAGAAATTTACAGAATGGCACTGTCTTTTTAAGGTAAATTCTTCCTTCAGAAGAAATGAAAATCAGCTAGAAGATTCTAAAAAAAAAGCCATTGAAGACTTCATTTTCTAATCTAGGAGTTTAAGGCTCTGATCCTACCATGCTAGAAATGGCTTTTGGAAGAGACTGTCAGCCACAGAAGAGAATCTTTTCTCCTAGGACCTCAGTCCCCTTCCATAAATTTATAGTAGCTCATTAAGCTAAGAAAACTATATGGTGTTTCACAGTTTACCAAGCACTTTTACATCCATTACCTCATTTGATCTTGACACTTCCCTGTGAGGGAATTTACAGGTAAGGAAATGGACTCAAGAAAGGCTAACTCAATTATCCAAAGTGACAAGCCTAGTAGAACCATCAGTGTCATTCTCCTTCTGAAGAAAGATCAGCTTGGAGGATTCCCAGGATCACTCTCTATATTTAATTTTTTGAAAATGACCTTCAGTTCTAAGCAATTCAGAAAATCAAAGTATAAAGGTAATGGTTTGTGAAAGAATCTCCCATTTCACCGAAATGCCATAGGATACCAAAGTAAGTTTTGATACACACCACAGAGAATGGAATTGTTACCCTAAAAATCTGTGAGTTTTCTTCAATTCATTCAATAACCATTTACTCAAATACTACGTGCAAAGCTCAGTGTGTTAAGTGCTCGAGTACAAAAGTTTTTGCTTCTCATTTACATCTAATACTTTCACTTCCAAGCTAGTGGGACTAACAACCCTAGGTCAGTCATTCCTCTGATTACATACATTTTGAAAAGGCACAGCTCAGGGAGACGGCACATGTGCTCTGGCTCCTCACCTGTTATACCAGTTAAAAAGGAGCCAGTTCATCCCCTCGAGCTGGTACTCTCGAAGCTGATTATTGTTCTTGTACTCCCGAGACTTCTCAAGCTTCTGCCACGAATCTGAAGCTGGACGCTCCTAATAAACAAAGCAGAGAGCAAAATGCATGGAAAGACAACGCTTTATGGGAGCTTCACACGTATGAGCAAAATTCAAGAAAAGACTGAGAGAGAAGCAAATCTCAACATTCCTGTTAAATCTGCAAATCAGTTAAGAAGGATACTGGGCCTCAGCTGCTTCCCTGAGTTCAAAACAATGCTGAGATTATTTTAGCCCTGAATGTGTTGTGCTATATTCATGGGGTGGGGGTGTGTGTGTGTGTGTGTGTGTGTGTGTGTGTGTGTGTGTGTGTGTGTGTGTGTGTGTGTGTGTGT